AGACACAGTTTAAACATGATAACTATGATCATTATTCACTCATACTAAACTTGCACGGGTATTATTCGGTTGAAATATTTTGCAGTAATCACTATTAAATTGTTAAATTCCGGCGATCTTTTATATTGCCATAAATAGCTTTTGTTCGTTGTGTATGTAAAACTCCAAGGCTTGGTGTTTTTTTTAATGAAAAAAAAATCAACTAGGCTAAAGAAACGCGCTATCCTAAATGAAGGAAATAGCCAAATTATGTTTAAAATACAGGACAGGTTGCTGTTTAGATTAGACGGCAAATACCCGATTTTACACGAACACCTTTGCATGAAGAGCAGTTTAGCTTTTGGAGTCGTTGATACCTTAGAAGCAGGCTGAACTGGCACGATACTTTAATTGCACTTATTATTACAAATGATTCATCTTAGATTTTTCTTCAGACTTTAAATGTCAAGTCAGAACTGAAGCTACTATAAATGGATTGGCTATTGATTAGATTTACTGAGGTATTGCTATACAACAGACTTTGTTATTTCAAGAATGGTCGGAGGAAATACAATAGCCTCAAAGAATAGGTATGCAACGTACTATTCATCCTTTGGCCCCCATGGGTCTCTTAAGCATGAAGCAAGAACCTAAAGAAAGGATGTCCATAGGAGGCGTTCTTCACTTAACATCACCAGCTCGTTAGACAATTTTTCACATAAAAAAAATACAAGGGAATTCCTGACCACCTACTATTTTTTTTTTTTTATGTGAGAAAGTGGCAAACGAGCTGGAGGTTCACCTGATGTTAAGTGATAATCGCCTGCCCATGGACATTTGCAACACCCGTAGGGTTGCAGATGCGTTGCCACCTCTTAATAATGTGGGCCCCGGCTACCTCACTCACCAGAAGAAACACAGAAGTGCAACACTTCTACTTTACGTCGGTCTTCTGCGAGGTCGTGGTACTAACCCGGACGGACCTGCCCATTAGTGCAACAGCGAACACTGTTGCGTGGTCCTACCACCGTAAAGTACTTCACCTACACTACTACACCGTACTTACAGTCATTATTTGGCAGTTTCAATGTATTATATTAAAAAAAAAAAAATCACCTGAAAGGGTGAAGTGTTGACAAAATAAGCGCGCTAGCAGACCACAGAAACTATTTCTGGGGTAACCAGATAAGTTATTTCGGTGATGAAGCAGACGCATGCAATTTGGTATACATGCTGATGAAGAAGAGGTTTACCATAAAGGATTTCATATCAATTAAACATCAAGAACATGTTATGTTTGATTGGTGTCCTCTTGTGATAATTATCCTTTTGTGTAAATTACCTGAATTTCAAAATTAGAAGAAATATTTAATTTTACTAAAAGCAATGATAAATGTTAGCGTTTAAAAATTTGTAGTTTGTTTTGTTGAAATTTTACTAATTAAAAAATCATTACATTATGATTTGATTGAGGTGATTTTTAATTTAAAAGTAATGAGGTCACATGTTTCTGAATTTTATCTGTTACTTTTAAATGGCATTTCTAATATTTGAAGCTACGAAAATATAAGTATTACCCAAAATTTGTATAATTACGTAGTTTTATTTTTATTCGTACTTTTTGTTAATAAAGTATGAAGAAGACAAAACTAAATAACTCTGTTAGTTTTATATTATTCTATTCTTGAATTATTAATTTGTGACCAATTTCTTATTGTATTTATCCTAAAACAATTTCTAACCTCAATTTACATTTTAGAATAAATCTGATAAGAAACTATCAATTACAACTGAAATAAAAATGGAGGAGCCGGTCATTCAGATTCCTCTAGATGTCCTGACATTTAAAGTATTAAGTCTAAGGATTCCGGAAAAGCAAGAAACTGCTTTTGCCTTAAGGATTATATTTTATGATCAGTTAATACTTGATACCGTGATAACTTCATTATGGGCCAGGGATGTTATGAAGGAGAAAGTGATAGTGCATGGTTCAATGAAGTATGACCCATCAAACTACGAAAAAATGTGCCTGTTTGCTGATTTTCCTTTAATAGGTAAATAAATTATTTCTAAGCCCATTTATATTAAGAATATCTTTTCGAAAGACAAAACTACCGGCCTCGATTTAAGTAATTCTAAATGCAAAATTTTCTTTTCCGAAAACATCTCTATTTCTATTTTTTCTCTATCACACCAAGCCACAGACTACTAAGATGATACTACTACGCATGCACCAAGCATTAACGTAGTCAGTAGAGATTCACTTTGCCTCTAAGGTGCTCCTTTGTTAAAACCAAGTTCGGAACTTCTTTTGAAATTAAAGTTAAATCAATTTTAAGATCATGTTAACAAGCTACATTACCATTTACCAATACCAATATGTTGGCGGTATTGTTGTAAGGAAAACTTCTAGTATCGCTGTACCTGCTTTCTTTGCTTCCGTGCAAAGCATAAATAATTTCTGTAATAATATCCTACATCACAGTTCGGCCCTTTACTATGCCGAGGAGGCAAGGATATCTTGACTGTTTATCTACTTCAAGGAAAATTTTCCTCTGGAAGTAAGCCAACGAAACAGTGGGATATTCCTATGGTGCAGAGAATACAGAAAGCTATGTTCCAGTCTTTAGATAGGGATTTAGAGCTTGCACGTTTTCTAGGCGTCTCATCTTAAAAATCGAGTTATTGGCTCTACCATCAAGTATTTTGGGTATATAACTTGATGATGAAAGCTTACGCATTGCTGTAGTAATCCGTCTGGGGGCACCGATTTGTCAACCGCAACAATGCCCTTGTGGTGTCAATATGAATATGGTCTCATTGGGCTTTCTTTTTAAAAAAAAGTGCTGACTTTTCCGGCTTTTTTCTGACTGTTCCGCTACGATGACCTGTACGAAGAAATCCGTAGAGCTAGGTTTCATCAACGTTCCTTCTATTTTAGCCCTGTAGCATTTTCCGCGACTATTGTAGGAGACCTGACAGCTTGACTATAATCCTTTGGAAGAGAAGCAAAGCCCTCGTTTGGGATGCTACTTGTGTAGAAATTTTGGGGACCTCTCGTCTAATGGATACTTCGATAAGGGCTGCAGCGGCATCGAAGACAGCTGTAATAAGTGGCACAAATATGAGTATCTTCATTTAGATTTTGTATTTGTGTCATTTACTGTCGAATATCCAAGTCCGTGAGGTCCTCGTACATCGAAATTTTTGTAAGGATTATTCGTTCGTTCTAGACTTATCACTGCGGCTGGTGAAGGGAGGTTGGTTTTTTTCTCGCTAAAACTTAAGCATAACTATTATAACTAGGTTTATTAGATAATATGTAATTCAGTTAGGTTATTCAATCCAATTAATAAAAAACCAAACTTTTCTATGAAATTGAAAAAATGTGTTACATTGCAATTTTAAAGAACCTGTATTAGTAAACCAACAAGATCTTAGTATTCGTTTGGTAAATTATTAACACCCAAAATGCAATTTGTTTTCAGTTACCATACAACCTGTCAGTAGCTCTAAACCTTATATTACTGCCTTGGAAACAACTAAGTCGAGTTTAAGCCAGAACAGCGCGTTGGCGTTTGAAAGGAGAAATACCTTGACTGATGCCTTTAGCTGCAATGTGGACATTTTACCTATATTCCTTGGTAGGTGGACATTTAGTATTAATAATTGAAGTTTTTTTCTACAGACCAAAATTAAATTCATCAGTACGCAAAATGCACGTGTAAAACATAGTCTGATGAATGCTTTGAAAACTAAGTTTCATCGGAATTGTATTTAATAAAGTAATAAAGGTATTTTAGTAGTAGGACCACGCAGCAGTCTTCGCTGTTCACGAATTGAAGGTTCCGTCCGTGGAAGCACCACAATCTCACAGAAGACCGGCGCGCGGAAGTGTTACACTTCTGCGTTTCGCCTGGTGAATGAGGCAAGGGATTTACAACCCTACGGGTGTACCAAATTTCCATTGACGGCGGTTATCACCATCAGGTGAACCGCCTACCCGCTTGCCACCTTCTGACATAAAAAATAAAGGTTTTGCTGTTTATTATCCCCGCCTTAAATCAATACGTGTCAATAAATAAACGATAAAATTTGTCCTGGCGAAATGTACGTCCCGTGAACATAATTGCTGTCATGTATTCGAAACGTCGGAAAATATTTTATTCTATATAGCCGTAAAATAATTCGTAAACACACCATGCATATGAATGAACGTATTCATTCAAATGTGTAGCGTAAACATAAGAAATTTTTTAAGACAAAATTCCTCGTTAATAATCGAATGATCACTGCGAGAATAACGTTCTAGGAATATCAATATATCTATGAATATATAGTATCCTTAGTGATTATGACTTTTGACGGCATCCATACGACGTTTGACGGCATCCATGGTATACTGGGTTCATTTAGGCAAATCCAAAAACTAGTTATATTCAAAAATGATGTTCAGTGTTATGCAAAAATCAATGTGTATACAGCGTGTCGTTACCATCGCGACAATAAATGAACACACGTCTAACGCTACTTGCCAATAATCATAAAAAAATATTAACGTTAAATAAAATCACTAATTAAAAAAAAATATTTTTCAAACAAAGAAATTAAGTAAAAAAGAAACAAAATGTGTAACATCCTATACAACTCGCGCCACAGCGTCGCATTACAAGCCTCTCCTTCTAAGAGTATGTTTTGTCTCTTTTAAATTCATTCAACCCATTCATATGCTTTGTGACCTTTACAAATGAACTTTACGTTACGCTTTTATAGGTAAGGGTGTTCTAAAATTCTTTGTTTTGGAAAATTTAATAACTCTGTAAATATTGATTTAAACATCAATATTTACAGAGTTATTAATTTTTAATACAACTTTTTTTAAATGTTTAATACAACTTTAAAAAGTTATCCCCTATATGTGTGTTCATTTATTGTCGCGATGGTAACGACACGCTGTATATAGTACAACAGATACATATTTATTGTGCTATCTAATAGATACAGATGAAATGCATGTAAAAATGCGCATGCAGCCGGCGTTTCAAACATCAGTGCTAAACGCAATCAGTTGGGACAATCTGCCTCTTCTCACAATGGAGCTGACTGCTAAGAGGAATGCAATGAACGCTGTGCATCATAGTTTGCTGGCGGAAGCGAACTATTTCAAATTCACCCTCGTCGGATGTTATAACTTACCGAACATCAATCACGGGTTTACCGTTTACACAGCAGCATCGAAGACAACCATGTTCAATGAAACGGTAAACGCTTATGTATGAACACATTATGCAACGTGGCGCTACTATCGCGACCAAAAAGCAACATATATAGAGGATAACACATATTCAAAACAATCAACATTTTAATTTGTCTTCTGTAAAGCAATAGGCAACCTGCATGATAACTGATCATACATTATTTTTTAAAATTATGATGCAATCAGCATAAGATTATAAATATTTCACATTATTTTTGTAATAAAATATCATTTGTTTAGTATTTAAAATAAATTTAATTAAAATAAAAACATTCAATAATCATACAAATGCGAAACATTTAGGTTAATGTAGTAGAAGTCATCATGTTTCTATAAAGTTCCATACCCTTACTAAATTTTACCCACAAATTGGTGCTATGGGCTTGGCTTGCGTAAAAGTAATCGCTTAGAACGAATCTTTTTCAGATTCATTTTGCAATATACAGAGGGAAAAATATTCACAAAGAAATTTTATTTTTACCTCCACTATCATAAATATTATCTCTATTTCGGTTTTATTTTAGAAAATGAGCATCATCAAGTTCGACGAAGGGTACAGGGATCCAAAACATTTTACCGACACCAGCTTCTATCCAAAATGGGAAAGTTTAAGACTTGATGACAGTATAAATTCACAAAACCCCGTGAAATTGGACTACGGACTAAATTCCATACAAAATGACAATGGAATATTTTTGGAAAAATATTTAACCGAGTCATCTAAATGTAGTAAGTTTACTATAAGTAATTGATGTAATTTTTTATAATATTATAAAAAATGACATCGATTTTTTTTATCATTGAAGACTGGGGGGTGCAGTTGCTTAGATATTGGCTTCAGCCGAGGGTTGTGGGTTCGATTCCCATATGGGGCATGTGTATTTGTGTAAACCACAGAAAATTGTTTCAAAGGAGGGTTGATGTAAGGTAGGCGGCTGGTCGTAAAATATCTGCTAAACGCACCTACAACATGATTCACATGTTGTGCCTATTACCTGGGTAGACACCTATGTGAAATAAATACAGGAGGATGACAATGATGATGGATTGAAGGTTATTATCATCCTTACTAATATTATAAAGGCGAAAGTTTGTATGTATGGATGGATGTTTGTTACTCTTTCACGCAAATACTACCGAATAGATTTTAATGAAACTTTACATTAATATAGCTTATATATCCTTTACATTAATATAGAATAAGACATAGGCTATAATTTACATACATATTTTATGTATATCTGTCTTTCTGTCTTAATGTTACGTCTTCAGCCTATTCTACGCAGACGTAGTCGCGGGCAGCAGCTAGTTTATATAATCGAAATTAGGAATTGCCGCATGTGATAATGTTTCCACTTTCAGTGCTTTTGAATGCGCATGCCGTATACAGTAATGCTCTATAGTTTGGAAAATCGCTTATCTAGTCACATCTTTAGATTTTAATCTATCGAGGCAGACGAATATTGAATGCACGTTACAGTTGCTATAAGAATGGTGTTATAACATTCTTTGACAGATAATGTTATATGGGCTTCCTTCCACCGCACGCTGTTGATGAAAGAAAACGAACCTTGGCTTCAGGAATTCCTTCGTCAATACAGTTGGCCCTTCGAACTTCGCATCTCTGGAAATACTGACTTCTCTATGATGGGTTTTTTGGACTTATTTAAACTTCTCTATCCTGGAGGTAATCTGATAAACAACGCAGTAGCAACCCCTAATATTTATTATTTTTTTATGTAGAAGGGAGGCAAACGAGAAAGCGAGTCACCTGATGGTAATTGATCACCCATGAACACCTGCAACATTGATTGTGTCACAATTGCGTTGCCGGCCTTTAAGGTAGGAGTAGGCTCTCTTCTTGAAGGTCCCTAAGTCGTATTGGCCGGAAATACCGCAGGCGACAACTAGTTCCACTAAATAGCAGTGTAGGGCAGAAAATTGCTTGAAAAATGTACATTGGTGGACGACCAACCATCAAGGTGGTGTCGATGGTAATTGGTATTTGACGAGTTGTACGATAGTGAAATTCACCAACAGGTATCAACCCGAACAATTCCTCAGAGCACTCCCCATGATATATCCGATAGAAAATTCAAAGGGATCCAACATACCTTGTCGCGTTTAGGATCTAATTTATAAAATTGCCTGTTGCATTACTAAGTACTTACATAGAATAATTCTGCTAATACTTTGGAAGATATCAAAACCTAGCCAAAAATGCTACTGCTATGGATGATTTTCAAAGCCACTGAAAATAAAAAAAAAACTGAATACTGGGTTGCTTGGAATCCAAATATTAATAAGATTACACACAGGCCAAACCACACGACCACATAAAAATTGAATTAGCATTTACGGCGTTGAGTAGACATAAAATAATAATATTAAAAGGTGTTAAGCTTTTTTTGCAAATGTGGAAGCGGGTCACCTGGTGGTATGCGAGCACCGCCGCCGCTCATGGACACTTACAACGTCGGTTGAGTCATGAGTCATGTTTAAGTCGTTAAAAATCCAAAGCCTAACTTGACCATAAATGCTGCAAAGTATTCAAAACATTGGATTTAAAGTTTAAAATTAAACGCGATAAAATCCGTAAACATGGTTTCATTTACTAATATCACGACAATTATTTGAAATGTTCTTACAGGCTCACAACTGAATTACTTCGAACAAGCATAGACGACTCCATGTACCAGAGGCCAACTGGTAACGACGGTAACTCAGCTTTCGTCATTGTGGAAGTATCTCTACAGCGCCCGTTTAAGAAACTTGTGATTCCACCTCATATATCTAAGTTAGCATAAACGTTTAACACCAATTATTCTTCAAAAAGTTATGAAAATTCATATATAACATCAATTATTCTAGATTATTCTAGAGTTTATTCAACAAACGTTACTTTGATTTATCCATTGTAAGAATCTAGCGGGTCATATTTATATCTTTCATGTGTATTTCATCTTTTCATGTAAAAAAATAGCATAGTCACAGAACTGATCTATCAACGATAGCTTAAGCCTTTTAAAATAAAATATGAACTGTCGAACGATCGAAACCCACTTTGTAATTTTCTTTTTAATAATAATTGTCGTCTTCAAGGCAAGAGTGAATAGGTTTTTACTGAGCTAGCGCGCTTACCATCCACGGCTGCATCGTCACTTAAGTCGCAGTCAAGCGCTAGTCAGTTTCCATATAATTTTTTTTTTTGAAAAAACAAGGTAATAGTAGTCAAATGGATTTATTTCTTTTTTTATAGCACTGAAATAAAAGATATGCTCAAAGAAATGGAGACTCAGCAATACCAACGGGAATGCACGGGGCGTGGACAACTAATAAGGGACTGGCACGATACCGTGAAAAGGGCGGCAAACTCTTTGCGCAGGATTCCATACTATGGTAGTAACTAATAACTTTGTTTTTTATTAACTCTAGGCTGTTACTTTACTTTTTTATTACTTTTATATTTTAAATTAATTCGTAAATTAAATCGAAAGGTAATTAATAGAGGCCATGCCTTTCTTTTGCAACAGCCCAACCAAAGATGCACTACAGCCTTTTTTAAGAACCGGCAACGTACTGTGCTCATCGTTAGAAAAGCATCTACTATCCTCGTAAAGTAAACTAGAAGTGTTGAGGGTGCTACCGTAGTAGGGACCCATGGGAGTTGGTTATCATTTACCATCAGATAAACCGCATGCACATTTAACATCTCTTTTTGATTAAAAAAATATGGACCTGTATTAAATATGGTCTCTAATTCGAAAACCACTTTTAGATGGCATTCATCAGTGCAGATGGTTTCACTGCGCGTATTCACATTAAAAATATTAATGATACGTTTATATTTTTTCCCACATGAGAACTGTTAAGCTATTAAAGCTTTTTAGGAGTTACTTTTGATGGCGCACGCATGCCTAGCCAGCGAAGCCTCCAAGGCCATGTGTGGAGACGAGAGCTGGCCAAAGGTTGACCCGCTAATCAGAGCTGCGAGGCACGCTCGCTATTTTCAAGATACCAAACACGCAGCAGAACTTTATTTCCATGTAAATATTTCGTTGTTTTACTTTTTATACCTTATACTTATACAGAATCTATGAAACCAACACCGTACCTTAAACAAATGAGCTCTCTCATTTAACCCTAATAGAGGGGGCAAATAGTAAACACTGCCACGCCTAAAAATATTTTAAATTTAATTTTAGGCTACGGTTTTCAATGAGTTGTAATTAATGTAGCCACAATATCTATACAAATATATTATTTGAATAAATTGTAACTCTCACGCATATGTTTTTCCCTCTTCTTAATCACATTATAGACATTGAGATAAAAATATGAAGTTTTTGGAAGGAAAACGCTATTTCTGTTTCAGAATATACATATATTGGCAGCTTTAAACGTATTATAAATAAATCAATTATTGATCCACGTCTTAGCCTTTTTCAAATGTTAAGTTATAGTTTTTGGACAGCTTTAGAGCATAAACAAAAACAGAAGTGATCATTGTCTTTTCAGTGATTTGATCAATTGATTTCGAATTCTACGCCACCGTCCTGTGTGACTGCCGAATATATTTTAAATTACATTATATATAATCCTACCTTTTCCTTTTACTGTACAATAATATAATTTTATAGGTTGTATCGCAAAATAAACGCAACGCCAACTATTGGCGTGAGCTGGGGACCTGCCTTCAAGAATTAGACCCAGACTGGGCTGATGCATGTTTAGACAAGTCCTTGGTGTTAAATCCACGGCATCCATTGACGTAACATAATAAAATAGTTTATTACCATTTAAATTCATCTCGTATTTAGTAATGTATTAATATCTTACATTCAATATTTCTTAAAAAATCGCTACTGTAGGATACGATATTTTTACACACATTGCGCAAGGACAAACGCAAAATGGGGATTACTATAAATCACCTATTCATGTTAATTCACAATTTATTAGTTTCGTAATATATATTAAGTTTCGTTAAATATAGATGACAAATTGAGTAAATATAATATAATCATATATCGTTGACTGTCATAGAGCTACGTAGCACCTTCTGCTGTTCCTAAATGGGACGAGTCGTGTCAGTCAGTCTTCGCTGTTGGACGAATGCGCAGGTCCGTCTGGAAAGTTCCACGACGCCTATGAAGACCGGCGTGAAGTGGAAGTGAAAGTGTTACACTTCTGCGTTTGGGCTAGTTAGTGAGGTATTCGGAGTCCACTTTAATAAAAGTTGGCAACGCCTCTGCAATCGTACTGATGTTTCGAATGCCTATGGGTGGCGGTTATCACTTAACATCAGGTGAACGGCCAGCTAGCATGCCACCTACTCACATAAAAAATGTTAAAGTGATTTTCATTTGTCTTAGCGAGTGAGGTAACCAGGTTCACCTGTGTTTAAAGTCGACAACACCACTACAACTATACGGGTGTCGATAACGTGCATGGACGGCGGTTATGAAGCATTCCATAATTTTTCTCATCCGTTTTATACAAATACAATTTCAGCTTTCTTCTTCCACTTCTACAGGCTTCTTTCTAAAGGCTGTATCATATTGAAGAAAGATCCAGAGGCAGCGGAGCAATTCTTCTTAGCCCTATTATTCTTTCATCCATTCTGGCTGGTTGGTTTGATAGCCGCTAATGCGTTCTTCTTAAAAAGGGAATATTTCGAAATAGCTGACAAAATTATGGAGTGGGTTAAAAGGTTAGCACTTGAGATTTTAAATAACATTCTCGTTTGCGTAAAGTGAAAAGGAGTATAGAAAGGCTTATGTTTGTATGACTATTTATTAGATTAACTTATTTCATGTCAAGCTAAAATTGTATCTAGGTGGTTGCTAATAAGTACAACAGAAGGGATAATTTTCTATTTTATTTCCTTGTGACGCTATAAAAACGGGTATGAGTAAGTGTCTACGTCATCTAGTGTTGGATTTTAACCCATTTTATAGATAAAAGACGTTGAGATTTTCGTCGGTGTGGAAATCAGTCGTTTAGACTCGGTTTCTATTAGTTATAGCGGCGAAAGACTTTTCATCCACTTTCTACAAATTTTTCAGGTTTCATCTTATTTGAAGAGATAAATAGTCAAAAATACATTTTGTATTCCATTATAAAGTCTCCTTAAATTCCTCCTAGGCCGAGTGATATAATTTTCAATCTGTCATGTTTTTTTTTTGTTTTTGGTTATTTATATTTTAATTGGCGGGTTATGGTCCGTACCCCCCCCATATGATGGTGGACAAAGTAGCACGGCCCCTAGTGCCCGGGGGCTCCGGCTGCAAGGCCGGCGTTGACGGGCGTCGGTCGAGCGTCGGAGCCAGGGGTGCTAATAATCTCCGGGCGGGATGTTACCGTCAAAACGACCTCTGGCTATTGCACAACTGACAACCGACGTAGGTTGTCGCTGGTGACATACAATACGCGCATGCTAAGGACAGACGAAAAGATAGCTGAGCTGGAAGAGGAAATGAGTAAGCTGCATTGGGACATAGTGGGTTTATCTGAGGTCCGAAGAGAGGGTGAGGACACGATGACCTTAAAGTCTGGCAGCTTATTCTACCACCGGGAGGGCGACCAGCAGTCCCAGGGTGGTGTCGGGTTCCTCGTTCACAGGTCCCTCGTTAACAACGTGGTATGTATCACGAGTGTGTCGAGCAGGGTGGCGTTCCTTATACTCAGAGTATCAAAGAGGTACTCGTTGAAGGTCATACAGGTCTACGCACCGACCTCGGCGCACCCGGACGATGAAGTGGAAGCTATGTATGAGGACATCAGTAGGGCCATACATACTTCCAAAACATACTTTACTGTTGTCATGGGGGATTTTAACGCGAAACTAGGCAGGAGAGGCGATGATGAGTTGAGAGTGGGGAAATTTGGATATGGAAGCAGAAATCCAAGGGGCCAGAAGTTGGCTGACTTTCTGGAGAAGGAGGAACTCTTCATGATGAACTCCTTCTTTAAGAAGCTGCTTCATAGGAAATGGACTTGGATGAGTCCCGACGGCTGCACAAAAAATGAGATTGACTTCATTTTGTCGACAAAGAGACGGATATTTAATGATGTCTCCGTGATACACAGGGTGAAAACTGGGAGTGATCACAGAATGGTTAGAGGCACATTGAGTATTAATGTCCACCTAGAAAGGTCTCGCTTAATAAAGTCCACGCTCCGACCCACTGCAGCCCACATACAAAACCCCGAGAGCTTTCAACTCGAGCTCACAAATCGCTTCTCCATCCTGGAGGATTGCGTTTCTGTGGACGAGGTCAACAACAGGCTGGTAGAAACTGTCCACGAGGTAGGGAAAGCTTTCTTTAGACCCCGCCGGAAAGATAGACCTCAAAAATTATCAGATCATACCATCGACCTTATGGCGGAGAGACGCTCAATGACGCTGCAGACTTCCGAGGACGCTGAAGCATATCGGCAGCTCAATAGACGGATTTATCAGTCCTTGCGACACGATATCCGTAAATTTAATACTAATCGTATTAAAGATACGATACAGCAGAATAAGGGCTCCAAAGTGTTCGCAAGAGACTTTTCTATTGGGCAGACCCAGTTGACGAAGCTAAAGACGGAAGACGGCAGTGTAGCATCTACTAAGTCAGAGGTACTGAGAGAGATCGAAAGGTTCTACGGACAGTTATATACCTCAAGAGCCAAGCCTGTTGACGATTTGGTTAAAGATCCAAGAGCCAAACTAACTCGACACTATACAGAAGATATCCCGGACATCAGCCTGTTCGAGATCAGGATGGCCCTCAAGCAGCTTAAGAACAACAAGGCGGCGGGTGAGGACGGAATTACATCAGAGCTTCTGAAAGCGGGTGGAACACCGGTACTGAAAGTCCTTCAGAAGCTCTTCAATTCCGTCCTGTCCGAGGGTACTACGCCCAGAACATGGAACGGAAGCAAGGTGGTCCTCTTCTTCAAGAAAGGTGACAAAACCTTGCTAAAGAACTACAGGCCCATCTCGCTTCTGAGCCATGTTATAAGCTGTTTTCGAGGGTGATCACGAATCGTCTCGCACGCAGGTTTGATGACTTCCAGCCTCCCGAACAAGCCGGTTTCCGTAAAGGCTATAGTACCATAGACCACATTCATACGCTGCGGCAAATTATACAGAAGACTGAGGAGTATAATTTGCCACTATGCTTAGCGTTTGTGGACTATGAGAAAGCCTTCGATTCGATCGAGACTTGGGCAGTGCTGCAGTCTCTTCAAAGGTGCCAAATTGACTATCGGTACATCGAAGTGTTGAAGTGCTTGTATAAAAACGCCACCATGTCGGTCCGAGTACAGGATCAGAGCACAAAGGCTATTCCGTTGCAGAGGGGAGTGAGGCAAGGAGATGTTTCTCTCCGAAACTCTTTACCAATGCAATGGAAGACGCCTTCAAGCTCCTGGATTGGAAAGGATGTGGCATCAATATCAACGGCGAATACAGCACTCACCTTCGGTTTGCCGATGACATCGTAGTCATGGCAAAGTCTTTGGAGGAGCTCAGCACAATGCTCGAAGACCTCAATAGAGTATCCCAGCGGGTGGGCCTGAAAATGAACATGGAAAAGACCAAAGTCATGTCAAATGTCCATGTGACGCCCACCCCCGTATTTTTGGGAGGCTCGCCACTCGAAGTTGTTGATAGCTATGTCTATCTGGGACAAATGGTCCAACAAGGCAAATCCAACTTCGAGAAGGAGGTCAATCGACGAATCCAGCTCGGCTGGGCTGCGTTCGGGAAATTGCGCAGCGTCTTTACGTCCAAAATACCACAGTCCTTAAAGACGAAAGTCTTTAACCAGTGCGTGCTACCAGCGATGACCTACGGTGCCGAGACGTGGTCTCTCACTATGGGCCTCATAAGGAAGCTCGCGGTCGCACAGCGCGCTATGGAAAGGGTAATGCTTGGGGTTTCTCTACGAGATCTAATCAGAAATGAGGAGATCCGTAGAAGAACTAGAGTTACCGACATAGCAGAGCGAGTCAGCAGGCTGAAGTGGCAGTGGGCAGGGCACATAGCTCGAAGAACCGATGGTCGTTGGGGCAAAAAGGTTCTCGAGTGGAGACCACGTGACGGCAAACGCAGCGTAGGAAGGCCTCCCACAAGGTGGACGGACGACCTAGCCAAGATCGCAGGGACGCGTTGGATGCAAGCCGCTAACGACCGGTCGAAGTGGAAGTCAATGGGGGAGGCCTATGTTCAGCAGTGGACGTCCTACGGCTGATATGATGATGATGATGATGATGATTTATATTTTTCGATCACTTATTAACAATGTACTCAATAATTGTTCAATTGCCTCAACATGATAAAATTTAATGTTAAAATTTCCAGAACCAAGGCCGAAGGCTCATCAGAGCTGTTAAATATTGCACGAGCCTGGGAGCACGAGTTGGGCGATTGGTGGGAGTCGACGCCCCTTCTGCCAGGCACCAGTTTGTACTACGACGCCGCGGACCTACTGTTGAGGATACGCGCGATAAATGTAATCATTTTAAAATAAACTTATGAATATGATAATTGATATATCTAATCAATAGTGTCTAAAAGTACTGCTATCCTCAAAATCCCTGTACCCGCGAGTAAAATGAACCTTTTCGAGAAGAGGCATTTAATAAAGAAAAAGGGATATGTATTTTAGGTAGAGTTCTCTAAACGAAAAGAGCTCACTCAAATGATATAACAATAGAAATTATCAATAATCAATTATGAAAAATTAAGCGTACATAAGATGTAGCTATATATACGATATGGTGTTTCCAACGGCAGTTTTTTTTTATATTTATAATAAAAATAAAAAATAAAATAAAACCTGACTTCAAATGTCTACTATATATTTGATTCAATGTCTTGTCCAACACCAACTAAATACTTATGGGACCACATGGGAGCTAAACCGAACCCAATGCAAAAATTTTTTTTTAAAGCAGTCTATCCTACGGGTGTTGCAAATATCCATGGGCGGCGGTTATAGGTGAACCGCTAGCTCGTTTACCACTGTCTCACATAAAAAAAAGATAACGGGTAAAAAAAAAAAAAAATAACACAGAAATGAGAACTTCCTCTTTTGATAATCAATTTATTGTTTATCTGACTGTAATTACTTTTTTAAAATTAAATTCACATAGTAATTTTTGAGTATTAGTATACAGTCTTGCTGTACATTTTTACATAGAAAACATACTTGTGTCACGAGAAGCCCGTTTCTGTACGATAGTTAAATCGAATGTCGTGTATAAACCAAATGCGCACCCCGCAATAACGCCGTAATACGACATTAAACTGTAAATTTAAAGAGAGTAGCCTGGCCTAGTTATCAGTTAACCATTAGGTAATAAATACTCCCCGTGCTTCGACAAAATCACATGTCAACATGGCTCTACGGCAGAGCCTTTATACCGTAGCAAGGGGACTGACAAAGCATTTAATTACGCCGTGACCTGTGGCACCCCACTTCTACGCCCTGATAAATAAATTATACACTCAATTGCTTTGTGAAATGTGAGTAAATCACTGAACTATCTCACCTGCAGCTTATCACCGTGACTATTAAATATAGTTTATGGACTATACTAGCAATTTAAGCAAACAATGTAAAGTACTAATCATTAGTAATATTAATAATCAGTAGCTTATAACTTACCATAAACTCGAGTATGACAATTTGCTTCATACTGGTTTCCCTTGATTGCTGCAGTTAGCGGAAGTTTGCATCGCACAAGCTTTCACGAAATATGGCGGGTGCCCAGTATATTACCATCTGCTAGCGTTGTGTTGCCGCCTTAGAGGAGATATTGACAATGCCCTGTGCCACATTCAAGAGGGGATCAAGAAGTTTGGCGAGGTACCGTGCTTTTGTTTTGTTTCAATAGGAAACTAATCATTTAAGTTTTTCCAATTAGATTGGAAGGAATATAGCAAGATGTAAGACCATGTAAACGTGTTTTTTTTTTTCTCAAACTACCCTGTACTTCAAATCGGGCATTAAATTAGGGCTTGTTTACAGTCGTGCCTACAATGACAGATACTGAAAAAATTTTGGTTACGCTACGAATTGTACATGACACTTTTTGTATTATTCGTTGATATTAATTCTTCTCATCGTAATATATTGGCTGTGTTACTTGAATATTATAGAAAAGTTTCTTACGGGCATTGGAGGCGGAATGCTACCACGTCCAGAAAAACAACTCAGCGTCTGTCGCTTCTTTTGAAAAGGTTGGCGCGAATTGTGGCTCTTACTGGTTTGTAAAAAAAAATTCATACTTTCAACAAAAGCTTCATTTAAAGATTATGGCCAGGATAAGTACATGATACCCCTCAAAAGAATTAAGCCAACTTTTAAACAACAATTAACATTACTGTATCGAGACAATGGTTGAAAAATCGGCAATGAAGTGAAATTACACGCTTATTCGAAAATATAAGCATAAATATTTTATTTTCACTTACAATAATAAGAGTTGTTTATTTGACATTTTTGAAATTAACCTTTTTAAATAGTGACAATGTTATTAAGTATTCATGCGTACCCTGTGTACGGATTCCTTCACTGTTGTTAATAATGTTTAAAATATTTTTTCTTAAATATAATGCAACTTCAATTATTTGAATTCAAGCATCCTTCAAGCTGTTGAAAGCTCTGTATTAAATCATGATATCACACGACTATTGGTTTAAATAACAGTCACTAGCGGTGCAAAATTCCACATACGAAGCTGACCGAAATCTAATAATTTATCGTTTATTATTTATTACTTATATACATGTCAGTACACTCCTCTCGATCTTGAGCGGTGGTTCGGAACGGTCTCGGCTTCTGCTAGCGGAGTTGTTACGTCGTCAGCCCAGTGCCTACTCATGGCTGGCTTTCGCCGACGAATGGCTCGCGGTAAGCAATTGTTTGGTTTGAATAACTTACTTTTAATCTCTCGATAACCCTACATGTGAGCAATGACCTTTTAAAGATTACCATCCCGATACAAAAAAAAAACAAAAAGAAAGGATAATGATTCATTTTTGACCGACTCTAAGGATGTGCCTCAATACGTAGGTATGTAATCTAAGTCCCCCCTTCTCCCTATGACCAAGCGTGGTATTTTGAATTACTGTGATAGAGAAAAGCAACAGCTTCTGCAGTTGCAGAGAGAAAACATTAGTATTTATACATTTATATTTTCTCTGGTGAGTGATTTATTTAGAGACCATCCAATTACAGGATATTAATGCGATTGCCGCGATAGGGATGTTTCGGTGTGGTGGAAGTCACTTGTTACATCCGATGAATCGCCTGCTTATATGCCACCGTCCACCATAAAGATAATCGCTTCCATTTATAATATTATACTTCGACAGTTGGCAAAAGAAGAAAGAAAAAAGACCCGTTCTTTGGATTACGAGTCTTCAGCTGTTAAGTATGCGATCGCGTGCGCCACTGAAGCGCTTAAGATAGACAAGAAGGCGGGGCGGGCGTGGGCATTGCTCGCGAAACTAGTGACGCCAACAGCAAGGAAAGTCTACTGCGCAAGAATGGCCGTTGCAGTAAAAACCCCTATTTTTTTAAACCCTTATTTCGAAGATATGTGAATGTCGAGCGACGATGATGTACTCATATTTAATTAGTTTTTGGCAATTTACAAGTACACACTGTGCTTTTAGTCTTTATATATATATATTAAAAAGTATATATATTGGTTATTAAAAAATCATTCAAAGCTACGTCAAATGAAATATACATTTGTTTTATAACAAAATTGTAATATTGTATATATTAATGATATATTTCATTTTCAGTGCGGCTACACCTGGCCGACCGAGCGTTTGGGGTCGCCATCACGTATAACATGCCATCGACTGGGCAAAACTTTACGAGAGTGCCGATGTAAATCGTGCACACTTTTTACGCTTTAATTTCTATAAAATAAACTGTGGTTTTCATATTACCAAGCCACGCTGAATGGTCGCGTCTCTTACGAACAAATAGTGTGATCAAAAATCGGTTTCCCTAAGAAAAGCCTCAGAGAAAACGAGAAACCAATTTTAAATAGAATGATTTCATAACTTCATGGGGTAACAATTTCTGAAATGTTGTCGAGTTCAATATAGATTCTTTTTTATCAAAATTTGTTACTGCGTTTCATGCATACATAAAACAAAAATTATTTGTAATAAAAAGTTTGGGATTAAAACTTTCAGAATGGTTGGTACAGGATTTATATTTAAATAATAGACAAGCGATATCTTACCAAAAGTATGACGGATATCTTTTTTCATATATTGTAATTTTTTTAGAGAACTTTTTTTAATTTCTGTAATTTAAACTGTGATGAAATGCGTATTGCGTTTTCTACATATTAGTTTTTTGTACAGAAGTAGAATGTATGAAATGACTAGAATACGACGAAAGATCATATTATGTGATGCTTTAGAGTTTAGATTATGTTACATTTTAAATAGCAAAGTTCAAGCTTAGTTATACTACCCGTATTCAGCTTCTCATAAAAAACCGTGGCGATGGTCTAAATAAGTCATAATTTTCCACACGATTGGCTTCACTGGGCTGCTCTGTGAGTTTCTTGTACACCCAGTACGCCACAAATACAAAGAATTTCCTGTGAACAAAGTTTTGATATCAAGCCTCAGAATCTCAACATGTTTCATTGCTATGGTTAAAAACATTAAAATCTTGTTTTCCTTAAATTCTCATAAGCAAAGCGTCTGGTTTGTGCGACATCCCGACACGTGTTAATGGGTAGAAAATAAATAGGCTTAAAAGCATCATCATCATCATCATCAACTTAATGATTCCTTCGATTTGCTAATAATTAAAACATTATGACCCACAGATTTGTCCGTTGCTGTTAAGACTTTTTTATTATTATAAATTACAAAAATTTGGGTTTTGTTTTAACAAATGTTAGGTTTTGCATAACTCTGGACTGCCTCCGCAAGCCTCGTCAAAAATAAGCTTAAGTTGCAGATAAAATGTAAATGGTTGTAGTGTAGTAATAACTAATTGTAACTGCAATCAATACTAAAAAACTGATTAATTAAAAAAAACAGTACTTACAAGCCAAACATAGTGTTCTTCTTCGGTTGTTAAAATATCTCGGGGGAAAATTAGTACTTGACTGCGTAAACTGTCTGATGTCTGTAATAACCATTCACGATACAATAACTGAATCGTAAGAAGTAAGAGTTGTGTGACAGTTACTGCTATTGATCTAGAAAGCGAGATTGGAGCTATAATAACTACATACAAAAATATTTTATAGATTGTAAATCAATGAACGTTATTATTCAACAATGAGTAATGGACAGTAAATTTGAAATAAATAAATATCCAAAATCTTTTTTATATTTGATAGATTTATTGCAATAAAATAAAACATGGATGAAAATGAATTACAATTGATAAACGGATATGACTACATATCATAGTTCATTTCATAGTCAATTTACAAGAGATAAATTGAGTTAAGAATTAATACGGCTTCATGGCTCATACTCGAAAAATATGACAGAATTTAACAATAATATAGTGCACACTTTGTTTCATCTATTGAATAAGAAGCATAACTAAAACACAGTCAAATATAATATTTGATTGATGATCTAGTCTGAAGATCATATAATATAGTTATAAAATGTTCTTCAATTTTATTTAAAGTTTCGTGTATAACATCTTTAAATCAATATCACTCTATGGATAACAATCATATTGAAATTGCTTATTTACTCTTTTGTTGTTGTTTTCATAACACAGTAAAAGGAATTTATCATTGTACTTGCTATCGTTGGAAATCGTGTTGTTACAAAACGAATGTTTCCTAGGTTCGCTTCTGTGTTCCATCGCATAAATACGTTGAACGGGTACTGAAATATGTAGACCTGTTTAATTAAAAACATTACCATCAACCGCCGCTGATGATAAGCATTACTTTCGACATCGGAATCCGCATAGATCCATGCGGACAATGCCTGCCGATGTTGCGACATTTTTTTAGGTTTCCGTACCTTAAAAGGAAAAAAAGAACCCTTATGAGATCACTTTCTTGTCCGTCTGTCTGTCCGTGTGTCACCACCGATTTCCTCAGGAACGGGTGGACCTAACAAGTTGAAATTTATACCAGAGACTGAGGTAGGGTATTTTTTCGGAATTTTTCATTTACTTTTGTTATAACCGTAGTTCCGTTCACCTAGAATCACGAAATTTGGTAGGTACATATCTCATATCACTGCTAGGTATCTCTTTCCGTAATGATACGGAATATAGTTTATGGAATCGCAATCTAATTACACCAGGAAGCGTAATTTGAGAGCCTCAGTTTCGGAGCGCTAATGTATTATCTACCTCTTATTTTTATATATTATAATTACTTTCTGTATCTTTATCATTTTGTAAAAGCTACCTTAATGGCAAGGGCCTATTTATTTATTTTATTTATTTATTTAAAGTACAACCACATCATATATATTGGACATTTACATGGTTGATTTGATTATAAAAACTTATTGCTGATACATATGAAAATGACGGTGTACATAACATTGACAACATATGAAATAAAAAAGTGGGTGTTAGTAATATGAATATACGTTAAAAATATTGAAAATGTTTATAAATAGAATTAATGACTAACATACAGTTTTGTAAGCAGCGGTTTAAATTTATTCAGACTGAAATTAAATATATCCACATCGGTTATTTGTTTAACTAAGTACTTGTATTCTCTAATTAATCTAACTTGAGGGGATTGTAGGCCAAGGTTTTTTTTTTTTTGTAACTGGAATGTGAAACACATTACCAGTTTTCCGTCTATTTGTTCGTGGGACAGAGAAGGAGAGACTTTCGAGGAAGCTACTGCATTTAATTTTGCCATGAAGTAATCGATGTAGGAAACACATATCGATTATTCACTAGGCCTACTATAATGTCCAAGAATACATTGAGGACAAGGATGTGTGGAAATGACTTGCTCTGCACTTGCAAGACCCCTGGCTGGTGCTGATTTTATACATAAATAACTTTGTATAATTGCATGACAAAAAAATTACAAAAAAACCAAGACCACAGAGTTTCTTGCCGGCTCTTCACTGTTCAGGTCTAGTTTAGTGAACCAGTGGTACATTTTTTGTTGACGTTCAATAAGAGGTTAAGTTAAGCCTATATTGAATATAGATACTTTGACTTTGACTTTGACTTTGACTTTCAATACATTGAATGAGTGGGCGTAATTTTCAGCCAAGGATGTTTTCAACGAAATAAAAAAATGTCTCTGGTTACACGAATAAAATGTAGACGGCCAAAAAGCCGCCGTCACCATTGTACTGGGTCGCAAGATAGTAATAGTAACAGCAATGGGAACAGCTTTGCTGTGATCCCAACTACTCTGCGCAACTCTGCGTGGAAACTATTCTCCGTAGAAGCGGCCGCTCTAAAGAAGCTGTGGTGTTTTATGGTGATACTCAATGATATTACGTACAAATACGAAATAGATATTGAGAAAATTTACACCAATTCGTGTAATTAGATAGCAATGCTATTGCAGCACCATGCTGCACCTCCACCTGTACAGGGCATGGCAACTTGTGGCAGCGGACGATGTCCAGGACATCCTGAACGTGACTTTCGCAGGGAGAACACACCTCGTAACGAACTCCCTCTGCGTCCTCGTAATCCACAGCACACTAGCTCCCGCCAATTTGACTTATGCCCGGTTCCTATATTCAACGAACGCCCGTTAGTTACATGGATTCGTTACTTTCACAACGACTTGTAGATTAAAGGAACGCTAGTAAGTCACTTTCCGTATGTAATGCAAAGCCTCGTAGGGAAAACGCCTCGTTTTGTTAATATAGGAACCGGGCGTATACGCCTTTTATCTACAAGACTTTATGAAAATTACGTAGCTATTTAACCAACAGCCGTTCGTTGAATACAGGAACCGGACATTAGAGACGCAGTTGGCTTCCACGGGAGTCGTGGGTTCGATTCCCACACGAGACAACTATTTGTGTAGCTCATAGATAATAGTTTCGGATCTGGGTATTTGGCCGCGTGCAATTTATATACCTATGTACTTGTTAATCCGATAATTCATTAATAATCTTACACAATCAAAAAAATCTGAATAAATAATGCTTCATTTGACTAAAGGGAATAAAGATTTGAGATTCAATTAAAAATAACAACATAATATAGGATTTAACTATATAATTTCATTTAAATTGTTGCCGTGAAATGTATTATTCACGGCAAATCAATCAATCAAAATCAAATGTATTTATTCAACATAGGAGCATTACACTCACTTATTGATAGTCAAAACACTACCACCGGTTCGGAAAAGAAAGCCACTGTACTGAGAAGAACCGGCGAAAGAAACTCAGCGGGCTTTTTTTTTTTTAAATAAGCAGTTTGACATAAATTCGTTAAAATACAATATAAGAACTCCGATTGAAAGAGCCTGGAGCGATCAGTTCATTACCAGAGTGTGTTATCATTTAAATAATCATTAATATTATAGTAGCCTTTAACACACAAACGTTCTTTTACTATTTTTTTTAAATTTAGCTATTGATGCATTTTGAACGTTTTCTGGAATTTTGTTGTAATAACGTATACATTGTCCCATAAAAGATTTACTTATTTTACGGAGTCTACTTGTGGGTAGGATCAATTTATTTTTGTTCCTAGTATTTATATTATGAACATTATTATGTCTTAAAAATTTATCCTTATTTTTATGGACATACAAAACATTTTCAAAAATGTATTGAACAGCAACAGTCAATACCTTTATCTCTTTAAACAAGTTTCTTAACGATTCTTTGGGGCCCAGATTGTAAACTGCACGAATAGCTCTCTTTTGTAAGATAAAGATTGTATTAATGTCGGCCGCGTTACCCCAAAGCAGAATGCCATAAGACATTATACTGTGAAAATAACTAAAATATACCAAGCGAGCCGTATCAACATCAGTTAACTGTCTTTATTTTTTTTGACGGCGAAAGCTGCTGAGCTAAGTCTACTCGCCAGTCTATTAATATGGGGGCCCCATTGCAGTTTGGCATCAATAGTTATGCCAAGGAATACAGTTGAGTCAATAGGGTCCAACGCTTCCCCATATAAAAGTACATCAGTTTTTACATGTTTAACATTGGAGGAAGTTGTAAATTTAATACATTTAGTTTTTTTTTTTATTATTCAACAGTAAATTGTTAGCACTAAACCAATGTACTACAGTAGATAGAGTATTATTTACATCGTCATAACTTAAAGAACGTCGGTTTACTTTAGAGATTAAAGAGGTATCAGCCGCAAACAATACTATCTCATGATTATTATTAACAAGATAAGGTAGATCATTTATGTAAATGAGGAAGAGAAAAGGCCCAAGAATAGATCCCTGCGGGACCCCATATTTACCAGGGCCCCGGGAGATCTCTTGCCATTCACGTCAACTCTCTGAATTCGATGGCTCAAGTACGATTTCAGAAGATTGAGTGCGGCATCTCTTATACCATAGTGGCGTAGTTTCCTGACCAAGGTCTCATGCTGTACACAATCGAAAGCTTTGGTTAAGTCACAGAATATTCCTAAGGCATCCATGCTGCGACTTTTCCCAGGCTTCAAAAATATTCATAACGAGCTGAACACCCGCATCATTTGTTGAGCGACCCCTAGTAAACCCATATTGCTTTTTATGTAATAAATTATGAGAGCTAAAATGCTGTAACATTTGATTCAACATGATTTTTTCAAAAATTTTACTAAGAGTTGGCAGTACAGAGATAGGTCTAAAATTATTGGGGTCGGAAGTACTACCAGATTTAAACACCGGAATGATTTTACTATGTTTCATAAGGTCAGGAAATTCGCCACGATTGATACAAATATTAAAAATAGTTGCTAGGTAAGGTGATATTACATCAATAATAGAACTGATCACCTTAACCGAGATCCCCCATAGATCTGCAGTTCTTTTAACATCTAAAGTTTTAAAAGTTTTAACAATTTCTGTCTTGTTTACAGTAGTAAATTTAAAGTTGACTTTACATTCCATAACATTCTTTTTTAGTAATGACTCACAACTGTCGGTGAGGAAAGAAGTGACTTGGTTGTTGAAACTGGAATGTCAACGAAAAATTTCTCGAAGAAAGTAGCAGCCTGTTGATTTGAGTTAATAGAATTATTATCATTAGTTAACATTAGGTCAGATTTGCGCTTCGTGACTCTTCCCGTTTCGCTATTAATTATTTTCCAAGTCATTTTGATTCTATCAGGTGCATTTTTTATTTTATTCCTAATATATAGAGATTTAGCAGTATAACAAGCTTTTTTAAATATTTTAGAGTAGGCACTAACATAAGAAACAAAACATTGACTATGATTGTATGTCCTTTCACTATAAAGTTCATACAATCTACGTCTACTATTATGAATTCCGACTGTTGCCCATTCATTGAAAACTACAGAGCTTTTAGGTTTGACTGTCTTAGGAGTAAATATAGTATTAAATTCCACTTTAATTAAATTAAATAATATGTTGTAAAGTGCATTGGGGCTATCATTATAAGGTCAGCTTTTTTGTTATATTACTTCTAAACTTCTCAACCCGAGTTCTATTTACAGGAACAACCATTATTTTTTGTACCTTAGCACTACTATTTTTTATATATGATTTAAAAGTGGCAAGTTGTCCGCAATGGTCTGAAGTAAATATATTAATAATAGACTTGTTAATTGGGTTACAGTTTTTTAAATATGTTATCTAAACAAGTTGCGGAAGAAGTAGTGATTCTAGTTGGTTCAAGGAATAAATTGGCAAGGTTATATGAATTTAACAATGATCTGAATCTAATAGAGGTGGTAGAATTTTCTAATAAATTTATGTTAAAGTCACCACAGACAATAATATATTTATTAGACTCAGATAACTTCAACATCAATTCTTCCAAAACATTTTCAAAAGATTCATATAACGCACTAGGAGGTCTGTATACGCATACAACAATGAATTGCTCAAGCTCCACACAGGCTATTTCAATAGTCTGCTCAACAGAGAGGCTCACAACATCTTTGCGGTTCTTAAATTTTAAAGCATTATTAATAAGTATAAGAGAGCCACCACGTATCGCTTTTTCTCTGCTGAACAGACTAGCAACCTGGTGACATCTGAAGTTAAATATGTACTGGTAGTTTAATAACCAATGTTCAGTAATACATAATATATCAATATTGTTACTGTTCAAAAATAACTCAATTTCCAAATCTTTACTTAACATTCCTTGGATGTTTTGATGGACCAGGCTAATACAATTTAATTTATTACTACAATTAATGTCTTTATTCAATTAACTTACATGTCTCACTAATTTACTAGAATAAGTTAAGTTTTTAATTGAAGTGCCAGAGATTGCCTCTGTTGTCTTCTTATTTAATTTAAATTACTTGGAACGGATTCCAAATTGGTACATGTCAAATTTTGTTGCTGTTCAATAGAAGCAGCAGTCTGGTTAAACAAACAATTGGCTGGGTTTAAAAAAATGCAATAAGATAACATATAAGCTGTTTTAAATAAAAATTGGATAGGATGAACCTATCATATGTCAAATTGGATGATTTATAATTTATAATATTATTTATGTCAATAAAATCACAATTTAATTTATTTTTTTGATAAATGGGTACATAATTGTTATTGTCAATTGTTTATGTCTGCTGTTGATGTGGCTGTTGTGATTCTCATCAGTCTGAGAAGAAGGCACTTCATCAACATACGTAAACGGTGGTTACTAAGGATAAGGAGGGTGATTAGTAAAACAACACGGTTTCGGTTATGTTGCTTTTTACTATCAATTTTGGATGTATGTGTACAAGTATGAATTCGAGGAAAACAAAGGTATACGTAATGTTTCATAATATATATTCTACATCGCAGTACTCGTTATCAACAAACATTGCTTATTTTACGTTCAATATAGTACTTTCTACCCATTTCATAATTTTGTTCGATCGCTCGCAATCGCGTAAGAGTCGGTGAGAGCGCTTGTATATTCAGTACATGTGAGTAAGACGAATTAAAAAAAAAACAAAGATATTATCTATATAAATCCAATCGATTTAAATAAAAATACACTAGCTAAAGAAACCACTTTCATACGTTCTCTGCAATTATCAGCAAATACTGCGTAATCTAACTGTACAGACACATAACGTGAACATGTCAAGGAAACATCGTCGTCCACATATTTATTACAAAGGTGTCGCTTACAGATGCATAGAAACGTACAACTGTATCACTGTATACCGTAAAAGTTGTGTGAAAAAACGTCGCAATAAAAACCTAAAATCCACATACTGAAAGTCTAAAAATATATTATAATAGATTTCAAATGTCTATACATAGATGAGTTCACTACGCGTCCGTGACGTAATCGAACGCGCCCGAAACGTTTACAATGTTTAAATATTATTACTTTTTTTAAAACGCACAGAAGGGACTAGACACATTATCCGAGTGCCGCCCGCCCGTCCGTCTACTCGGTTTTCTACTGCCGCGTAGTCCGAGAACCAACCAACAGAGTCTGTCGTTCGTCGCCCACGGTATTGAACCGACCCTCCCGCGGCAAAGGGTTGGAAGGGATGAAATTTCTCAAGTCCGTAATGCTATCGCGTCGAGGTCACGAGTGGCGTGAGTAATACAATTTATATGTGTATAAGATAAAATCTAAACCGTATGGATATCATGAACAACTAATACCGTGATCATCGAAAGACGACGCGTCCTAGTCGATCGACGATATTTGTCGGCACTACGAATACCGCTCGCGCGTTCTAAAAGTACGAGGGGGGGTCGATTAGCAGTAAAAAAAACCAAAAAACAAGAGACAGAGACAAAAAAGTAAGAAAATTTCATCCCGTCGAGAAGGAGCCGCGGTCGCCTCTCGAACTAGCGGTCCGGGGGCCCGCGCAGTGGGGCGCAGTGGGGCGCCGTGGTGAGCGACGTTCACACGAACACCTTGGCGAGGCCGTCGGCGCCGGCGCTCGCGATGTACGGCCGCAGCGGGTGGAAGGCCACGTCGAGGATGCTCTCGTCGAACTTCTTGCGGTGCGCGGTGATCTCCTGCACGCACGTCTTCGTGTCGAGGTTCCACAGGCGAACCGAGCAGTCGTGCGAGCCGGAGAGCAGGAACAGCCCGTTGGGGTCGAGCGCCAGCCCCGTGACCGCGTCGAGGTGCGCGACCATCGCGTGCGCGCAGCGGCCCGACACCGCGTCCCAGAAGCGGATGTGCCGGTCCTCGTGCGCGCTCACCAGCAGCGGCAGCGTCGGGTGCGAGCGCACGCGGTTCGCGGGGCTGTCGCACCCGATGCGCAGGAACGCCTGCCGGCGGACACGGGTGGCGGGGGTAAAGTGAACTGACGGACTACAATGTTGTTACACATTTTATATAAAACTATTTCTTTTGCGGTTTTACCGCGCTCATTTTTAACTTTAATTTACTTTTCGAACCATTTATTCACGCGACAGACTGAGACGTTGGACGCAAAGTTAAATACGTAAAAAAATAATTTCATTTATAGTCTATAATATCCCAGTGCTGGGTAAAAGCCTCCACTTTACGGAGGATATTAGGGTATAGTCCACCCCTTCTCTTTCTTCAGACTTCACATATCTCCGACATATTATTGACGTTAAACTTACTTTTGCGCGTTTAAAAAAAATATGAGAGCTAAATTGTTCCGCGCGCACCAGGAAAAAACAAAAGAAACTCTCGTCGCCCGCGCACCTGGCTGGTCTCGAGGTCGTAGAGCAGCAGCGTGCCGTCGCGGTAGACGACGGCGGCGCGCGCGCCCCCGTCCGCGAAGTCGGCGGCGGCGGCCGCGTGCGCGTGCGCGTGCGCGTGCTGGTGCGCGGGCGCCGCGTCGTCGCGCAGCGTGCAGAGCAGCGGCCGCGCGGCCCGCGGCGCCCACAGCCGCGCCGTGCCGTCCGCCGACGCGGAGAGCAGCCGCCCGTGCGCGCTCGCCAGCGACCACACCGCGTCCGTGTGCTCGCGCAGCACCGGCCCCTGCGCGACAGAGTTGACAACTACTTTAAAAAAAATTGCCCTGAAATCAACATTAAACAGCCCTAGATAGCTTATTGTAATCAAAGTTATTGTTTAAATGAGTTTCAAATTATCTTAAAGTAAATAAATATAACTTACTTTTAATTACTTTTCATTACAAATATTAACAAAAAGTTCATTAATTACGTTTATTATCAAGCATTTTCCTTTTTTTTCTAATTTCGCTAATCAAAATAGTAATGTATGAGATATTATTCATGGCCCTTTTTCACAAACAGAGAAGCAAAGAGGAAATTTTTTTATTTTTTTTTATTTTGTTACGTGGTAAGGAATTATAAGTACACTCGTTTAGTGAAAACTTCGAGGTTACGTCACCGACATGCTAATGTCACGTATCTCGTTGTCGTTGCACGTTGGTGACAAAAATTTTGGGTTTCATGTCTTTTGGTTTTCTAACATTCGATCGCTATATGTATAATAAATTTCTAGTTGTTCGATAGTATTTTCGTCTCGCATTTTAAAATTGAAATTATAAATTTTTTTTAAAAATTAACATCTGAAAAATTACTTGCAATTTAAGTCAGTGCTTTGTGATTTTAATTAGTCATACCATAATTCTTTTAAAAATTAAAAAAACACAGTTATAATAGTTATTCTGTGGGCAGTCCCCGTGACTGCTTTTTTTATAATTTCGTGACTAATGCTGAGCTCTAAACGCGGTTTCAAATAACTTTTTTATATTTCCTTAAAGATAATCCAATTTTGTGACAATGCTTAAAAATTTATAGAACTTGTAAATAGTATTTATGTTATAATATAAATCTACATGTTTTATAAAATAAATACCTCATGCAACTTTTTACTCAAATAGTGTTCAAAATATACTCAATCATCAAATTATACTCTTATGTCTAAACGTAATGCAGCGTGCAATTAATAGCATTTTTGTCGCTATTAAAACAACTCATCCTTCACAGGAATGCAACCGTAAAGCGATGCCCGCAAAGTGCTAAAACAACTAGCATACTCCTTTCTTATCTTGAAACCTTTCTATTTTGAAAAATAATATAGCTTAATAAGAGGTCATTGAATTTTTTATTTATAGACTATGGCCAACGAGAAATCGGTTCACCTGATGTTAAGCTATTACCGCCACCCGGGATTTCCCGCAACACCCATGGTATTACAGTTTACGAAACCGGTAACCACTTCTATTGACGACTGAAAACTGTTGCGTTTATCTCTATCACGATAAACATTTCAACATCCTGACATAATTGTCGAATTTTAATAGATTTGTTACCAACACTGCAGGCTTGTAAGGATAAAGCATTCAACATCCTCGCATAGTTCTTGGAGGTTAATAGATTCGTCACCTACACTGCGGTGTTGTAGGGATAAAGCATTCAATATCCTTGCACAGTTCTTGGACCTTAATAGAATAGTCATTCACACTGCGGGATCGTAAGGATATAGCTTTAGCTATCCTCGCTTTATCCTCGAATTATCGAACTTCAACAGATTCGTCACCTGCACGGCGGGATCGTACGGATCGTAGGGGTCGGCGGTGGGCGGAGGCAGGTTCCACACCCTGATGGTGCCGTCGAGGCCGCCCGAGAAGCACTCCTCGGAGCGGGGCGCGCCCATGGCGAGGCACAGCACGGGCGCCGTGTGGGCGCGGAACGTGTACAGCGGCTCCACGTCCAGGCCGGCGGACTTCTTCGCCTGCACGGTCCGCTGCAGGTTCCACAGCTTCAGGGTGTGGTCCTCGGAGGCCGTGACCAGGGCGGCCTCCGTCGGGTGGAAGGCGAGCGCTCGCACCTGAAACAGTTTGTGTTCAACGTTTACACGAGTACGAGGCACCGAATCACGATCGATAACGCCGCCCGCGATTGTTTGAAAGGCGATAGAATGTGCGGCATGTCGAGGTCTATTGGGGCGGCTGTACTCGGCTGAACTCAAACGGACCGAAACGATGGAAACGAGCCCTTCTTTGCATTTTTATTTATTTTAAAGAAATGAATTCAAATGAAACTTCTATTTAACCCTGATATTCAACTAACTTAAGTAACAAAACATCGGTGACTGTTGAAACTAAGAATTGCAAAAGCATATTTGAATTGCGCATATTGCGGAATCTCGCTGATTGAAATTGCTACTCGAATAGTGACGTTAACTGTGCTGGTTCAACGGTGCTCGGCGATCATTTACTGTGCTTTGTTATAAGTAGGGAAGAGGCTGTCGATAACAAACACGCGACGGACGACATCGCCGTCAATAGCGGCAGGCAATGTTGATGTCCGCGAGCCTCACCCCGTCGAAGTGCGAGCGCAGCGTGTACTTGGCGTTCCAGGTCTTGCGGAAGGACTCCTTGTTGGCGCCGGCCACGTCGTACGCCTCCGGCTCGTTGCTGACCGTGAGCTGGGCAAGCTCGCCCAGCGCCAGCGGCTTCTCATCCGCCTCGCCGCCGCCGGACGCGACGCCCACCGCGGCCGCGCCGCCTGCAAAGTACGCAAGCAATCACAGCATCGGAACCAGACTGTAAACGCGATCCTTGCTAATCTTACTGTTCTACTTCGCTAATCTCCATGGCGAGAGGTCAAAGGGTTCGCGGTTTACGCGAATGCACGTTGCTGATCTCTATATGTTAGATTAGGTTAGAAGAATCATCAAAAATCGATTCACTCAGTCGAAAGTTCTGAGGTAACAGACACAAAAAAAAATACAGTCGAATTGCGAAACTCCTTTTTTGAAAAGGTCCAAGGGTTCGCGGTTAACGCAAATGCACGTTGATACTCTCTATATATTAGTTCTCAAAGATGTCTCTCGTCGGAATGCTACCATAATACAGCAGAAGCTGTTGCATGGCTGGAATAATTATAATTCGCGTTTCGTCTGGTGAAGACTAACCGAAATAACCGCACTTTTTTATAGGTTGTCAACGCATCTGCAAGAAGCTAGTTGTTGATGTCCACGGTAGCGGTAGCCACTTAAAATCAGGTGAATCGTTTGCTCTCTTGACAACTTTTCACATTAAATTAAAAAGTATCGGCTTATACAGCGTGTCGTTACCATCGCGACAATAAATGAACACACATATAGGGGATAACTTTTTAAAGTTGTATTAAAGGTTTAAATTCTTTAAACATCAATATTTACAGACTTATTAAATTTTCCAAAACAAAAAAATTTTGAACATCCTTACCTATAAAAGCGTAACGTAAAGTTCATTTGTAAAGGTCACAAAGCATTTGAATGGGTTGAATGAATTTAAAAGAGACAAAACATACTGTTAGAAGGAGAGGCTTGTAATACGACGCTGTGGCGAGAGTTGTATAGGATGTTACAAATTTTGTTTCTTTTTTACTTAATTAGTTTGTTTGAAAAATATATTTTTTTAATTATGGATTTTGCTTTACGTTAATATTTTTTTATGATTATTGGCTCGTAGCGTTAGACGTGTGTTCATTTATTGTCGCAATGGTAACGACACGCTGTATACATCCCACGGCTGGGCAAAGGCCTCCTCTGTACAGAGGGACTTTTCACATAAAAAAGAAACCAAATCTTTACCTTACAAAATAACAAGGTGGCAGCTATATTCAAGGCGAGGCCTTTCATTTGCACTAGCTCAGTAAAGCGCAAATGCGTTTACCAAAACTAAAACTACATCAAGGTAACAACTTTTCACCCTTCATAAGCCTACCACAATTTTCCACCACTCCCTGGGTTAACTGGTAGAAAAGGCAAATTAAATTGATTAAGACCGCCCTTCGTAATTTCTTATATAAGGTGTTGTAATAAAGGATAAATAAGCTATTAAATGACTATGTTAGTAATATTTTCATTATGCTCAAATATTTCACTTTTATTCTTTAAAATAAGCGTGTGTTTGTGTTTATACAGTTTAATATGTTCTTTAATGAATTTTACCAACTTAAACTTTCACGGCGGAATCAAGTAACATACCATATTATTTACACATATTGCTTCAACAGGTTTAACATAGGCACAACGAGTAATTTACTTAACCTTTATAATGTACTAAGCCTGGTAGAAACCCTTCTGGTGTTGCCTTCAATATACGACTTATGCGCTCAGTAAGAGGCGCCGGTACCGGATGCGTTGATAATCGCTTCATATAACTTAATATACAAAGTTGCTAATTAAAACACGGCAAGCCATTATGACTTGTGTTGCGACTTTAATGTTAAGTGAATGTCGCCCATGGACATTTGCAACACCCGTAGGGTTTATTAAAGTGTGCCCCGACTACCTCACTCACCAGACGAGACGCAAAAGTATAGCACTTCCACTTAATGCCGGTCTTCTATGAGGTCGTGATACTTAACCGGACAGACTTGCCCATTAGTGCAACAGTTGAGTGGCGCTGTCACAAACTCTCGTAGGAGCATTAATCAGTTTTCTTTTCTACTTTTTGTTCGGTAACTGTTCCTTTTAAAATAGTTACGCCCGGTTTCTGAAACACTGATCATCGTAGAAGTCAACTAATCAGCTGTCAAATGGCTTTTTAAAAGTTATTTCAGTTACCAAAAGGATTGTTAAACTCTTTGAATTGATCATTCTGGTTAAAAAGAACATTCCGATCTGAGGTAGTGTTGAATGTTCTGTTACACTACCTCCAATACTACCTCCGAATTCCAATCCAAAATTTCATTTAAAAAAATATTCCTTAACATATAAATCACACATGTTATTTTATCATAATTTAAATATACTATACTATAATTAATTTATAACTGCGCCCGTCTCATATTAATAAAAAGGTTTTTTATAACAATTATTATGATTGTAAATAAAAATAATATAAAAGTAAAAAATAATATATTCAGCAGTTACTTACAATACCCCCACAGAGTCTAAATTAAAATGGTAGGTTAGCATAGATATGTCTGTTAAGGATTAGCGATTTAATTTGAGTTAGAAATCAGAACAGATCTAATTGTATATAAATGGATGACATGACCCATGAATCTCTGTATGTTTCCTGAACCTGAGTAATTATAAATGAGCATTTACAGTTCCTAATGCTGGGAAACTCTTCAAACAGAATAAAGTACAAAGCCCATATGCCATACTACAGTTAAAGGTAATTACAGCCTTTATATACGTTCGACAGCTGGGCATTACTAGAAATGTGTCGAATTGTCAAGAAGTATAACAAAAGCTATGAAATATTTTTATTTGAAAATTTGGCAAGCGATCTTCTGTGAGACCGTTGTACCTCCCCGGACGAGCCTGCCCATTCTTGCAACGATTCTTGTAAGGTTGACTGGTAGAAAATGCCTTTGGCATTAAGTCCGCCTTTGTACTAGATTGTGCATAAAGTGTAAATAAATAAATAAACAGAAGAAGGTTCTGCGTGGCCCCACCAAAGCGGTTACTCATGACAAAAGAGGAAAGAGAAGGAAAGTTCTAGACTCACCGACTTGATATTCATCCCCCTGCCCGCCGCCGTCAGCCTCGCTCTCTGTCAGCAAGTGGAGCTCGTTTAAAACCTCTTCAGCTTCGTGGTCTACCTCCTCGCCTTGTTACGAGGATCAAAAGCGACATTATTAATCATCATACGAACATCACACACCCCGTCACCCAAGCAACGAAATCCCGAAGCGTTTAAACTGTTCTATTAGAAATGCATTTCTTTTTGAAATTGGAACGCGACGAGCAATAAATCCGAAAAAAAAACGACACAAAAATAAATGTCGCCCAAAACTTAAATGCGTCCGAATGAAGTTGGCACTCGTGCTTGTGTACTGTCGCTGGCAAAATATTGAGTTCTAAATAAAAATAGGCTGCTTTGAACCGAATAACAACGCGACTGTACACGAACGTGTAGTGGGAGCAAAATAAAACGCTATTTAGATCCGAAACGCGAACTAGAAGAAAACACCCCTCCCCTCCCTCAGCCCCAACGATAGTCACACGTCACTTCGTGATGTGTACAAACTTCAAAAGCGCATTTAAGGTTCAACGCGTTGCGTCCACCGAGCGCCATTTTAGGCCAGCCTAGAACAGTTCGACGTTAGCCAAAACGATTACCATTATAGCGAACCGTATGCTAATGTATTCGCTTCAAAAACAAATTGATGAACATATTCGTATAACAGCATTGAACATTGTCTTCCACTATCAACTTATGAGGAGCGAAGGCACGTTTCATTAGAAAACGTAGCTGGTTTTATATCATGCCATCAATCATTTCTTTCCTTCACAACAGGTAAATGTGCTTCAGTAAAATATTTATAAAACTAACATCACATTGCTTTTATAGAAAATATTATTTGTGATATTGATTCCCGCATAACATAAAATTACTAGTAATATTTCATTAGACTACGTATTGAATAAGAGTATGTGGTGAAATATAATTTTATTTGTTAATATGGGCAGATCGAAATCGGGAATAAACATATTTTTTCTCGTTCAAACCCTATTTTATTTTGCAAAGTTAAAATAAAATAGGGTTTGAACGAGAAAAAATATGTTTATTCCCGATTTCGATCTGCTTAATGTTTCGAAATGTTTTAATTTCAAGTTTTAATTTTTTTTTTAATTTTTTGTTTAAATTTTTTGTTTAAATTTTTGTTTAAATTTCATGTTTTAATTTCAAGGCGAAACAAACCGAAATTCGTATATAGATATTTTGCGTATTCAGAACACAATGGAAACATCGTTTCTATTAATGTCTCATTTTTCGGTTTGCAAAAGTACAAAAGCGTATGCACTTTTGCATAATGGTAAAGATATGGGTTGAAAAGCATAAAATTTACTTATTTTGAAAATAGAAGACAACTCCGTAACGTCGAACAATGTAATAGAACATCGTTACTGTTTTAAATATACTGTTCTAAGCTGACCATTTCTAATGTCAAAATTTCTTTTTTAATTTTTCATTTGTTTAACATTATATGAAAAGAAACATTTCTTAGGATCATTATAAGTAATTTAAACCCAGTGGACCACAGTGCTCAAAAAAAAAATAACTAAACAATATCAAGTGCGGCTATTTATAGCATAGTATAAAATATTTCTCTTACGCTCATCCCATGTTTAGCTATAAGAACAAGGAATATGCGCCCCAAACACATAAATGAAAAATTAATAAACACCAAACACAGTTTTTCAATTCATTGGGTGTGTAATGTTAGTACAATAATCATAGATTAGAATTGAATACACAAGCAAAATGAAAAGACCGATTTATCGATTATATTATTGTTTTGAAAACAGGTTTTTTTCACTTTTCAATTTTCATCAATTGAAATCTATGAATACATGAAAACAGGTTTTCTTTCAATGAGCAAATCTTTATAAAAATAGAAAGAGAAACAAAATTTAAAGCCTATAAAAACTGTTTTAATAGCTTTATAGTTTTAAATTTAGTTTAGACCATCAAAATATTAGGCACAAAGTTTTGCTCGTACAATTGAGACATGGTAGCACATATCATGTGTCTTTATGATCTAAATTAGGCAATACCTTGTTTACCCGCAGTGTGATGTGGTTTGTTGGCATCAAGGTCATCAATTTCATCCATATCCATCTCTTGGTTGGCCAAGAACTCGAAATTGGCGAAGACCGCCGCAGTCTCTTGCACAGAGAGTCCCTCCTCATTGTACCCGGGTCCAGTTGAGACAGCGCCCTTCCGCTGCTCCTTACCACCTGGGAAATTTGTTAAAAATATTTTAATACAAAATGATATATATTCTTATCAACTTTACCCTGTATTCTCGTCTTTGTTCTCTTTATTGTCAGTTTAGAGTCCTATTCATAACTATTCAGGACTGAAATATGGAAATGAAGGGTTTTAATTATTGACGTAATCCATAAAAATGTAAGTTCATGTTAGGCGCGGTCTAAAGTTTAGCTTATTAAGATGTGTACATCTTTCATCCGACCCGCCACTAAAGCAATAAAAACAGTAAAGAAGTAAGCAGATTAAATATAATGCAAAAAACTATCAGATCTTACTTTCTCAACTTACCAACCTATCCAAATTTACAAAGAAATTCGAAAATTTCCATAAAGAAATAAGATATTGAAGGTCCTAGACCAAAGTCAAAAAGACAAAAATTAGGGATGACGATAATAAAAATATGGTCTTATTCCGCGGAAATCAGATATGGACGTCAAAAACAAAATTAAATAAAAAAGACTATTTTGTTTACCGCCAATTGAGAATATTCCGTGAATATTTCCTCATATATACATACCATAGTCATATTTGCGGATGAGGGAGTTTATCGGTGAGTCGCCGCATCGCTCGCGGAATTTGTTATCGTAGTTTCTGTAGTTTGGGTCTTCTGCCTGCTCCTCGTTGTTCAGGCCGAGTAGAGTCCTCACGCGATTGGAGCGAACGTCCAGTATCGTGTCTGTGTAGCCTATTTCCTGTGGAATGGGGCCAACGGTTTTAACGAACAGTTGACGTGGACCTAAAATACTACTCCCCGTAGTGGGGCCAAGCAGTGGTTACTGCTGTTGCCGGAATGGGCAGACACGTCCTTGGAAGTATCATGGCCTCTTAGAACACCAGCGAGAACTGAGAGAATTATGCTTTCGCGTTTCTTTTCGAGAGTGCGCCTTCAGTGTTGATTGGCAAATAATACCTTTATTTAATTTTTTACTTACATGTGTTAAACAGCCCCTAAATTTGGGTGGTTAAATATACTGAAATTTGGAACCTAACAGTGAAATAAATGAAGTAAATAGCTATGTTAAATTCTTCTTTCATCAAAATATCCTATGACACACCCATTGCAATAATATTAAAAATTTCTATAGCTGGCGTATTCACTAGTTAGGAAATTTTGATAAATTATTATGAACAATTATATTATGAAATTTTAGCGAATACAGGATTTAATAAAATTTACAGACCTATAGATAATTCACGATAATTACGCTTTATCAGACAAAATATATTTTATCTCATAAAAACATAGCTTTTACATTCAAAGGCAACATTTGCTTACCAATAGAACAAAACTGCCTAATACATTGATTTTGAATACTGTTCATAAATCAACGACACATAAAACTAGGTTAAACCTATTTAATGGAGTATTTAAAATCACTCGTCGTCCAAGTCCAGGCGCAATTTTAAATTTAATGAATATTTACCTATATCTCTCAAAGACATTTCATTCAAAATAATATTTAAATTTTCTTTGGCGACAATCTTTACTCTGCGCAACTGATTGACAACAGATTATTACGTGTTTGTCGTTGATAGCATGACATTAAACAACGAACATTTTATTTTATTTTAGGTTTTTGTACTTCTTTTCAATAGGAAGTTTATGGAGGTCCGTACAAAATCTCAGATCCCGTGAGCGCAATATTCTTAAAAAGGGGTTCAAGTTGTCGCTTCACTTATTAACATAATTATCTACGAAATTTCTGTTTTATATTATATTACAAACAACTTTTTTTAATAAAGTGGATATATTTCATGAACTAAAGTATTGTGGATGCACTTTGGCCGTTTTTTTTATGTGAGAAGTTGCCAAGCGAGCAGACGGTTCACCTGATGTTAAGTGAATACCGCCGCCCATGGACATCTGCTACAGATGAGGATTCCGGATGCTTGGACAGCCTTTTGAAAATAGGGACGTTTTAACAGAAGTGAAGGAATCAATCCTCCTATATAGAAGTTCTATTTTATTCCCACCTAGGTAAGGTCGACACAACATGTGGAAGATACTGTAAATGGTTTCGGAAATGTTTTTACGGCCGGCCGCCTGCCTAACGTCAACCCTCCTTGGAACAAACACTCAGGTTCGGAAAAATTATCTGTGGGTCACACAAATACTTGTGCCGTGTGGGAATCGAACCAACGAATCCCGGTGCCAATATCTCAGCAACTGCTCCATTGAGAAGTTATATGGAAACTAATTGTAATATGGAATTCAAGTGGAATAAATAATATCGATATTCACACTAGCCAATATTGAAAGTGGGCAATTTTGTTTGTATGCTTGTTTTCGATTTAGCACATTAAATCAGATTAGTTCTCCTCACCCAATGATATTATTTATACAAAGATATGACACTAGCGCACCGAAACTGAGCCGCTCAAATTGGTACACCAATTGGTGTAGATTGAAATTCTATAGACTACTATCTCTTTACGTATCATCTCTCTATCATGTCACATTCACTTATACAGCATGGTGTTACAACCGCGAACTTAAATGCACATTTCTAACACTAATTGCCAATAATCATAAAAGATACAAAAGTTAACAAAAGCCATAATAAAAAAAAATCCAACAAACTATGTAATTAAAAAACAAACAAAATTTGTACATCCTATACTAGATGTATAGGATGTTACAAATTTTGTTGTGACTGATGCATACATTCAGAGACTTTCATTCGTTGCCACAACGTCGCGTTACATTTCTCTCCTTCTAACAGTATGTTTTATCTCTTTTAAATTAATTCATAAGCTTTGTGACCTTAACAAACGAACTTTACGTTACAGTTTTATACGTAGGGGTGTTCTTAAAATATTAGTTTTGGAAAATTAAATAACTACGTAAACATTGATGTTTGATGAAAGTAAATGTTATATTATCAATACAATTTTAAAAACTTATCCTCTACATGTGTGTTTATTTATGATCGCGATAGTAGCGTCATATAATGTAAATCGGCACATTTTTTATGAGCCGCGCAGTATGCACATGCGTCATCTATATTATCAAACATCACTGGCCTCACCTGCAAGTATTGCTTAATGAGTTGACGTCCCTGTTTCCATTGCGCCTTCTCCGCGGGCTCGGGCTCCGCGGGGGGCTCCTCGGGGGGTGGGCGCACGTCGCCTTGCTGGAGTTCCACGCCGTACTTGAGCTTGTGGAACTTCGCTCGCTCCTGCTTCAACGCATACTCCAGCATTTTGATCCGCCTCACGAGGTCATTCTTGAGGTTCTCCTGGCCCTTCCTCTCGCCTTGGAGGAAGGCGATTCGCGCCTAGCGACACACAGTTGAACTTAAAATTAATTCCTCTAACTAATTCTGCACTAAACATCTAAAAAACACTGTTTTTAAAATGAAATTATATTGATAATACCACAGTGTGTGTACACATACACACAGGGATGATCAGTCTATTTTTCCGTAGTTCCGTATGGACCCTATGATGGTTGGACCAATCTTACTATACTTACCTACTAATATTATAAAGGCGAAAGTTTGTATGTATGGATGGATGTTTGTTACTCTTTCACGCATATACTACTGAATGGATTTTAATGAAACTTTACAATAATGTAGTTTATACACCAGAACAAGACAGGCTACAATTTATACACATATTTTTATATATATCTGTCTTTCCTTCCAAATGTTACGCCTTCAGCCTATTCTAAGCAGACGTAGTCGCGGGCAGAAGCTAGTTCTATATAAAATTAATTTTGCTTTGCCTTCAGAATTAATGATGCATAGAATACTTTTTTGGAGCTGTGATAGCTCAGTGTCCGCGGGCGCCTTTAATTCGATATACTCGAGTAATCCAGTTCGATTCCCAATGCCGGTCGCCAATGACATTTTTTATTTTAAAAGCTGACTTATCACGTGCTCAGCAGTAACGGAAAGCATCGTGAGGAAATCTGCATATTTCATTTTTCCAAAAAACAATATTTCGAAAATATGTGAAGTCCGCTAATCCGCAGTGGGGCCGCGTGGTGGACTATGACCTAATACCCTCTGTACAGAAGTGGCCTTTGCCCAGCAGCAGGATATGCATAGGCTTTTACTTTCCTTCTAGAATATTTTTCCCATTCAAGTTCCATGAAAATTCATCTCTGAATTTTTGTTTTACTTACATTAATCATTGAGGTGCATTTCATTGATTTTGTGGACATATATTATATGTTCACATGATTTGCTACAATACAATATCAGCTTAGGTTATGAATTAACAACACAGGAAACAGTAAATAATTTTATGAAAATTTGTATAAAATTGTAGATAAATGTTAACTTTAAGGCAAGGCATAGAAAAAAAAGCCTACAGTATAATGATTACACCTGGCATTTCTATCCATACCTTTAGATGAGGTCAGTAAACTTATCAAGTATGGAATTGTCTTACCATAATTATCATCACCATCATCATTATTTCAGCCTATTAAATAGACCTCCCCCACAGTAATACTCTTTATATATTTTCTTTCTATTCATTTTAAAAATTACTTTAGGGTCCAGTACCCAAAAGGTAAATGGAGACCCTATTACTATGACTTCGCTGTCAGTCTATCTACCCATATGTCACCAGGCTATATGTTATGAACTGTGATAGCTAGACAGTTGAAATCATGTATTTCTGTTGCCACTATAACGACAAATACTAAAAAAAAAAATAAAAAAATATTTAAGTGGGGCTCCCATGCAACAGAAATGATTTTTTTACCGCTTTTGTAGATAATGGTACGGAACCCTTTACGCGCGACTCCGACTCGCTCTTGGCTAGCTTTTTTGTTTAAAACCAAAATAGGATTAAGAATTAATTTAAGAATCATAAAAACTTTTAAACTAAAAAAGAGTAGCATATGCTTGACACCTCTCTTGTTCTTTTTTTCCTTTTAGAATTGAAACTGTATACCCCAATTACTGGTTATCACTGAAAATCAGGGTTGTAATTTTTACTGCAACATTGCTGACTGATGTTGTTTTTGACATGATCTATGACACACAATAATCTTGACAGTAAAATTATAAATATTGGATGTTAATAATTATATTTACATTTTTTTACTGTTGTTATAATAAATATTGTGTTGTGTCTAACCTTTCTTTCTTATTTCAATATAACTATTAACCTCACTATAGCCTCATGTTTTTCCAAGTTGACTTTACTTGTATGAAGGTAACATTTATGACAAAGTTCAACAATAGTCCATGCACAGCCTAAAAGTAGTATTTCAAAGGGTACTACTAAAAAAGAACATAACAAACAAACATTTTCAAAGTAAAGATTTTTATAAAAATACATAATATGTATATTAAGCCTACCTGTTGGAATAACACATCCATAACCCCATATAATACTTAAATGTGTTCCCGTGAAACAATGTTTTAACAACTATTAAATAGTTTTATTTAACTGTACACAATAAAGCATGGAACCTGGCAAAAAATAAACAGGCTACCAAATATTAATTTGATATAACATTAAACACAAATAACATAATCAATTATTTTTCATCGAACTCTACCATTATGCCCTTCTTATTCTATAATTAGAGAGGAAAAAAATACAGTGGAATTGAGAACATCCTCCTATTTGAAATCGGTTGAAAAGGCAAAATTTGGTATATACCTCAATTTGCTATATCTTTATATATATAATTCTTCTGTACATGTGATTGTCACTGAACTCCTCCTAAACGGCTGGACTGATTTTAATGAAATTTTGTGTGTTTTCAGGTCAATTGAGGTTGGTTTAGATTCACAATTCGGTCCACTACAATTTTTTTTTTAATTTTTATATTAATGTTGTTTTCAGATTTCAGACATGTTTACAGGATAACATCAGTTGGGTCCGGTAGTTTTCTATTAAAATTAACATACAATACACAATATACCATACCTTTTTATAACAATAATTCTCTACTCTTAACAAGTATCCTGTTAACTTTAATATGAGAAACCTATTATACCTATGCTTTTTGTGTATTATTACTAAATATTATAGTATTTAGGTACATGTGATAAATTGATTTAGATTTTTTATATGAAAAACATAGCTATTCTAAAAATATGTCACTTCTTGGTCATTGGATAGTAAAATAAGCAAAAGGTAAAAAGATAATATGTTAATAAATAAATAAAACAGTAACCAATACTAAGATATAAAAATAAATCTTGGTTATTTAAATTCGTAGATTAAGTTATATTTGAATGGATACAAATTTTGTCCTGCACTATTATGAGCTTAGTAAAATATCACCAAAAACATTTATAATTGATAACATTAATAATTGCAGATAAATTAATATTTACAAAATAAATATTGATATAAAAAGAAAATATGTTTATGTGTTAACATGTAAACAAATGTACTAATTTAATACATGAAGTAATATTTTATTAATGAGTTATCTAATTATTTTAAATAATTTTACTAAAATTAAAATGGCATTTCATTAGTAAACTTAACAATTGTTGCACATATATTCTATTCTTTTGTCACGCAGTTCTAATACGAATATAATAACACTAATCTGCAGCAAAATAAAACAATATACAATTCTGTGCATTACGATAAACCTACCAAACAAAAATTAAATAAAACACCAGCGGTATGAAGATTAAGGCGAGTAAACTTCATAAATAGATAGAAATCAATAGAAATACAAAAATATTACCTCAAACTCGGCTCTGTCCACCTCCCATTGTGATCTCTCGAGCTCGAATCTCGCCCATTCGTGTTGAATAAAATGCAAAATGCCTGGTATTGAATACTGGACACTTTGGCTAGATTCTTCATTTTGTTTGTTATTTACACTAACTCCGATTTGAGATCCCACTTGCCCTCCGTTATGATGAGACACGGAGCTATCATCCATGGCTGTGGGGATTTTCATGACATGGCCACCATTACCGTACTTGTCACAGACCTATCAAGAACTATAAAATGAACTACGTGAAATGAAATACTAACACTTCATGTTTGACTATAAGCTAACTAACGTTCACGTAGGCGACATCGAAAAATCTTTTTGTAACGACGAGTACATGTATGACAAAAATTATTGCATGACGGAATACAAAAGTCGAAACGACGTCCGTCCGCTGTACATTGCTTTTTTCTTTTTTATGAAAATGTTGCCATTGCCATTGCCACCACGTATAATTAGCGTTGTAAAAAAAATTGCATTTTTTTTTTTCAAATTTAATTAGAATTATTTACATTTTTATTTCTTATTGCAATATTAATCATCACTACATAGTATAAAACAAAGTCGTGTGTCAATGTATGCTTAGATCTTTAAAACTACGCAACGGATCTTGACGCGGTTTTTTTACTAGATAGAGTGGTTCAAGAGGAAGGTTGTACGTGATGAGTTAGCAATTAAATTTTACAATTTCATTGTCGTCTGTATATATATATATATATATATATATATATATATATATATATATATATATATGTGTGCGTATATGTGTGTGTGTGTGTGTGTGTGTGTGTGTGTGTGTGTGTGTGTGTGTGTGTGTGTGTGTGTGTGTGTGTGTGTGTGTGTGTGTGTGTGTGTGTGTGTGAGAGTGTGTGTGTGGTGTGTGTGTGTGTGTGTGTGTCTTATTTATCACAAAGGACTCAGATTTTATACGCTTAATACAATGACAACTATGTACTCTGCTCTTTTACCAAAAACGATGTTTCAACTTCCATGGTATATACAAATTAAATAACAACATTTCACTTCTGTTTCAACAAAGGCAGCATTGATAATGTACATTTTTTTGTAGTTTTCCCATGGCTTTCATTTAAACACCTAGTTACCTAAATATTCGAATCTATTTGTAAGCTGTTAACACTAAAAATTGGCCTTGTAAAACTTTCAAATCCAAAATCAGTACCTGCCACAAAACCATAGACCAATGTATATACAAAACAAACTCAAGCAGAAGCAACAGAGCAGTCATAGAGTAACTTATTATAGGGGTGAGAGCAGTCCGCCTGCCGGCATGAACAGACCAACGCAACTAAGGCTGGCTTTTTTTGGGCTGGATGTGCCACTGTTGGCCTTAGGGGCCTGGCGCTCTGGGCGCCTAACCTGAACCTCGGTTAATTATTATTACGCGCTGTGGGGACTGGCTCGAGGGCTACCGAGACAAAAAAAAACTCAATTTTAACACTTTCATTGAGATCATCTCAAGAAGTCCAAGTTAAAAGGAAGTAGGCATGAGATATACCTGCAACATTCTATACCCGGCCTCAAAGGTACGGGTATCGCCGTATAGCCCGGTGCTAAAACCCAGTATCAAAATACCTATAGGTATTAGTTATGTTCAGGCGTCCTAATGGAGACCCGGTATGGAATCGAACCTTTATTTGGTTGGAATTGGAACATTTAGATGTTTTTTTAGCAATCTTTTTTTTTAATTAAGATTTAATCAGTCTAAATTAAGGTCCATCTTTACCAACGTAAAGAACCCTATTATAAAAAAAAAGTAATTCAAAATAAATATTACTGTTTAATCTTATTACGCAATTATTTATCTACCTAATTGTCATAGAAATAAAGAATAAATTTATCTCAAGGAAATATTTGGTATAAAATGCCTAAATCATACGTTTCAATTCGGGCATGATCGGAAAGAGCCGCCGTAAGCGTTCGGGGAACTTCGTACCTATTCGGCCGGCGGGTTGTCGCGAGCGTTATATACCGCCACCGTCGGACGAGGCGGCCATACCTATCGGGTATGGAACGGACCTCTGCCGTACATACCTCATACCCGGTATGCGGGCGGGTTGTCGCGAGCGTTATATACCGCCACCGTCGGACGTGGCGGCCATACCCAGCCATACCTATCGGGTATGGAACGGGCCTCTGCCGTACATACCCGGTGTGCGTACTGGCATGTTCATACTGGGTATTTATACCTGTTCCAGTATATACGCCTCATCCCTAGTTCAGGCCTCCTTTTGTTGACTCGGTCGAATCAAACGAATTGAATCTTTGGTTGGAATTGGAAAATTTAGATGTTTTTTTAAATTGAGATTTAATCAGTCTAAAATAAGCTCCATCTTTACTATCGTAAAGAACCCTATTATCAAAAACAAGTAATTCAAAATAAATATTACTATTATTTGAGTGTAAATAGGGAGTGATCTTCATTTGCGAATGCAGCGGATCCAGGCGGATCCAGGGGGGGGGGGGGGTCATGGGGGTCATGACCCCCCCCCCCCCCCCTGCGCTGGGTCCAGGGCCTAGGTGGACCATTCATTAAATTTTGTTAAACATAATGTTTTTATATATTTTTTGCCACAATATAGATTTTATCTAAGTACCTTTAATATTTAATTAAATTAATATAATATTTTTAACCGACTTCAAAAGGAGGAGTTCCTCAATTCGATTGGTATATTTTTTTCGATGTATGTACACCGATTACGTTGAGATTTATGATCCGATTTACGTGTCTCTTCTTTAGTTTTATGCAGAATAGTTGTCATTTGGTCCCATAAAAATTTACCATAGTTTGGCCAAGTACTTTTCATTTTATGAACATTTTTACAATATTTTAATGTTAAATCATCAAACCAAATCTTGAAAATTAAATTTGATTTACTTCCCGGTTACCGGTTGAACTGAAATTTTGTATACATGTGTGAATCGACAATGCAATATTTTTATGACATGGTGCTGATCTGATGATGGAGCTGGAAGCAGGCCAAAGGAACTTCGAAATGAAACGACAGAGCCTCATCGCGTTTGGGCGTCTTTCATTCGTAACCAGGATCTGATGATGGAGCTCCATCTTCAGCCGTCCATGGACATATGCATAGGGTTGCAGATGCGTTTTTTCCTTATAATAAGTAAGAGAAAACGTATCTCGTGAGTGAGTTACTCACCAGACAAATAGCTGAAGTACTTTACGCCGATCTTCTGTGAGGTCTATGAGGCTATTGCTGGCTGTGAGGTTCCTATGGCTACTCTGTAATGAAACGACTCAACCCCATCGAGTTTCGACTCGTTTGATTCCTCTTGGCGAGTACTTAATTTTTAGATGGTTACCAGGGTCTGATCTAGCTGGAATATAGTCATATGAACTCAGTAAAGAAACGACGCAACCCTATTGAGTCTCGGCTCGTTTGATTCGTCATGACGAGTTCTTTAGTGTTAGATGGTAACTAGTGTCTGATGACAGAGCTGGAATGTGACCATAGGAACTCAGTAATTAAGGAATACAACTGCGTCGAGTTTGATTCGTCTTAACGAGTGGACCGTTTGTGGTGGGTAATGTGGTGGTTTAGTGGACGTGAGTATGCGAGACCATCTTTGGGAAATAAAGTTTGTTCGTTCCGTTTCTTATGAATGTGGATTCTGTCTTTGATTAGATAGTCCCCGTCTTAGGCTACTTGTCATTAAAGTGGAGCCAGCGTGCGGAGTAGAGGAATAGAGAATATTATAACCAATACGACTAACGAACATAAAATCTAACAAAGAAATTAATAAAAGAAATTCCAAAAATAAGTAAGCCTACCAATAGCTACGTAAAAAAATACTATACAGGGTGGCTTTTCTAAGTGTATCCATTTTTTTTATTAAATTCTAAACGTAAACTGAACCTCCTGTGTGAATTTGGGCACCTTTATAAATGCCACCCTGTATAATATATGATAATAAAAAGCAACGAAATGTTACGAACAAAAAAGAATTTTGCAAATCCGTCTATATATGACGAAGGTATGCCCGAACATACCTACATAAAAAAATATAAGCAACCGAATTGATAACCTCCTTATTTTTGAAGTCGGTTAAAAATAAGTTCCTACTTTTTACTTGTATCTATGATTATAAAAGTTTAACTATAACTTCTTATCACTTGCCAAAGACCCCCCTGGCACCAAAGCTGGATGGATCCGCCCTTGCTTCTATCCCGCTGAATACTTTTTTTGCAAGCCCGAGTTATATTCAGACATATGCTGGTAAATTGTTTATTTGTTAAACATTATTACTATGTAATACCTAAGTAGCGAAACCAATCGAAAGTTCGAGAATCGCGCCTATTGAACCACCAGATAGGACTATACATGGTGTTAGCACTCACAATCAAACAGTTCATTCTCGACCTGGTGTCCTCTAACGGTTGTAGAATAATAAAGCAAGAAAGATTTAGGTTTAGTTTCAACCGACAATAACGACAGTAGTATATTTTATGGAGTTATCGCCCCAATGGGATATATATGTATATATTGTAATTTAAGATTCCCATGTATATCCATAGCCAGAGTATTTCAGACTGAATTAAATTTGGACTAGCCTCAACAATAGATGTCATATAATGTATCTCCTTAACCATAATATGTATAGATGCCTGGTATACGCTCATTGGGTCTTAGGTATGTAACAAAAAGCGTTGCGGCAAAAACAAGCCCACGAAAACCCCTGGTCCATAAGGACAGCATTAGACAACTCTGAAAATGGAATAGTGTTCTTAGACTAACTGGTTGAACCATGTTGGTTTGAAATAAGCATGCGCGATATTTAAAAAACTAATTTAGTTAAATTTCTAACAACACGTTGCAGATTTGAAAACCAAAATTTAATAATATTATTCAATTTCTCAAATACAGTATAATATATTTTTTATTGACGAGTTTAAAAGTATTATTAAGCTTCAGATATATTATTTCTTTGGTCTTATGACTTTATTTGAAATAGTTTAAGTTTCTTTAGTTTAAACCTTAATAAATCTGTTGGACCAATTTAACACTAATTCTTCTTCAGGACCCTATGAAATGATCATGATGATAATATGTAAAATAAAAAACTTGTAAGCATTGTCACTAATACCTGTTTTTGAAATGAAACTAGTTTATATAATAATTTCAGTATATTGATCTGTCTCAATCAATACTTTATTGTACCCTTAAAACATGTCACATTACAAGACAGGAATGATAATAAAATTCTTTCAAACTCTGGATGGACCACAAGAATGTGATAACTTATTATTAATAATAAATCAAAGTATTGGAACATTTAAACTACAATTGTCGGTGGCATTATATTAGTTAGACTTCTTGGAATCTTTGGATGGAGAACGTGATCTGGAGCGGGACATAGACCTCCCCTTTGAACGGGAGCGCGAACGGGAACGGCTGCGGGAACGCGAGCCTGAGCGCGGTGAGCGCGAGCGGGTACGACGACGGGACCTCGATCGGCTGTGAACACCATCAATAAGTGTTAAAATAATCATTTTAAATCTATTGTGTCTAATCCATGTTGTTAAATACAACAAACATTGAGACATTTAGATCTACTTAAGTTGACTGAACATTCATTAATTCTAAAGCAAACGGTCTAATAATACACATTTAAATAAACAAACAAACATTTTAGAAATAAACGGAAATGATGGATTAGACACCTAATAATAGTATTGTGCTAACAAATATAAACAATATTATTCCTTGTTAGCACTAGAAAACTAGCCGCAGGTAAAATAAAATAATAACTTGTCCTGTGCCCAAGATGTTCACCATATTCCCTCCGAGTAGAATTTATGCAATTCCTAGTATTACACAAAGAAAAGAAATAAAATAAAAATACACATCAGGCCCGCTTTGAACACAAATATGGGATATAAATGTGTAACTCACTGAGTGCACGCAGTGATTACATTAGACGTGTCACGATGCGCTGAACAAACATTATGCTCTATGTAGTTCTCGAAAAGTGAAGTGTGCACGTAGGTCGTCATTACGAAGTTCGCAGAGCGAAGTTACAGTTGCCAACTTTAGGAGAGTACACGCCGCGAAGTGAAAGCTACGTAGCGCAGACAATAAGAAGTGCAGACACTGAAGAGTTCGTTCTCGGAGCACAGGCCAATGATAACCTATAACATAGTTATCATTGGTTTATGTGGGTCCCAAACTATGGAATGGAATCTTTACATACTTCACCTGCGATAGGCATTTGAATGCTTGTAATAATGTATACCATACATATGTAAACAATAAATAAATCATGTAAATAGACGATTAAGAGGAGACTGTGCCCCATAAAGATTCCATACCAAAGAAATTCCAAACAATATAGTACAATAAAGGGTTACCTTCGGCGGCGGCGGCGTGTACAGTCTCGTGCATAGTGTCCACGATCTCCACAATCGTAGCAACGATCGTCGTAGGGCCGAGGCGGTAGACGTGATCTTGGAGGCGGCCCACGTCCATATCCCCTACTTCCATTAGACATCTCAACGCGAGCACGCCGGCCACATATTGTCCTTCCATCTAAACCACGAATCTGAAAATACAATATTTAAGATAGAAATCAAATTAAATGTTAAGTCATTTTAGTGTAATACCCTTATCATCGCTTATCTTACCGCATCTTCAGCGTCACGAGGATCTTCGAATTCAACAAACGCAAAGCCGGGTGGGTTTCTAGCTACCCACACATTTCTAAGAGGCCCGTAGTATGAAAATGCATCTTCAAGTTCAGGTTTACTTGCATTATTACCTAAATCACCAACATATACCTTGCAATCACCGTAACGGGACATTTTCTGAAAAAAAAAAGGAGATAAGAACATTGTAGGTAATCTATCAGATACGAAATGGCGAATCTTGATATCACACAAAATAGTTCAAATATTACCAAAATAATTATTTGAAGTAAATTCTAAAACTTTTATCCGACATTGGTCACCAATAAAAACCCTTAAAATATGGTAAATAGTATAGAATCAGCAAAACTCTAATTGTTGATCGATACACCGACGCTTATGTGCACAAAATGGCGGAATGCTGCTGCTTTGATTTGAGAGTTAAAAGTTAAAACGTGCTCTACAGTCACAGTCTACACCATAGATAAGACAAAGACATATACACTGAAAATGAAAACTGAAACATGTCTACAGCTCAGGGTGACCATCTCAAAAATGTTGAATCTGCACAACACTAGCAAAAAATCTGCCAAACTCAACTCCGAAAAATGCCAAAAATATGCCATCATATTATAATATCGTTGGTATTACTGTACTGTCTGTACAGTATAATTAATGAAATAGACTTTCTTTCGCATGAGGCATTTGAAGCTTCTTGTTGGTCGATCCCTCACTGCTGAGGATCGTGACTCATTTTCAATTGATCAACGTGCTGTCTCCATAGGTTTCGCTCTGTCGTCTAGTGAAGTTTGGGGCTTATGAGGATTCAACGTTTTCAGAAACTGGTTCCGCCCACCTTTAGGATTACGGTCTTTAGGTAAAAGAAGAGCTTTTTCAAAGTTTGAAATATTTAAAATCTCTTTCAGAATAATATTTTATTAGAAATATATATTGCAAGCTTTGCAAAATGCAACAGGCTCCTCCTTAGCTCTGGAAATCCAATATAAAGGAAGCAAAAGATCTTCTTACCACTTAGGTCGATACGAATGCTCGTATTTTCTCTTGAACATGCATGGCAGATAAACACATTAAACGCCAAAAGATATTAAGGCAAAGAATAATATAAAATTAGAAAATACAAAAACATTGACATGAGCCTCGATAAATTATATTAGTAACAAAATAACCCTTATTGCTGATTAGTTACCGTTCATAATCATAAGACTTATCTATATTAAAAACAATAATCGGGAAATCACCGTACTATATAACGTGGGATGAAAGTGGAAAATACAGAAAATAATTTGCTACCAAATATTAATAAAAGTGAATAATAAGACACAGAATATTATAGGCATTCGAATTATTAATTTATATTTACAAATGTATTTCAGAAATAATAAAGATTTCCTTGAAATATGCCAAAATCTGCCACTTTTTTGAATCGTCAACCCAATCTGCCACATCTAAAAAATTTAAGGTGCGAAATCTACCCAAATGGCAGAAATCTGCCACAAATGGTTACACTGCTAGAGCTTCATTAACACTAGACAAACGTCAAACACTATGGTCAATGTTGCCATAAATATGAAATGTGTTTAGCTAAGCTGCTCAAAATTATGCTAATTGATTTACAATAATGTAATAAATATACTAATACGTTTCATTGACGAATAAAACGTTATTTTATTGTAAAAGTTTTTTATTCAACAAAATTTAGGTCTATATTTTCCACTATTTTATCGTAAATGTTTTATATATATTTGTTTATATTAAAATTATTTCATTCAGTGAAAATTTTTCATGAAATACTTTTACGAAACTCATCTTATTATTATTGGAGAGAAATCTATAAAAGAGAGGATTAGAATTTTGCTGCTTAGAGATTTTTGGTAGTGCGCTTGTAAATAGGTACAGTACTAAAACATGACGTTGACTGTACATAAAAATTAATTTATATGTCATTATGACATATACATATGTATATGACATATAAATTGAAATATATGTATACAATACGTAGAATTTACTCTAAATGTATTTATTACTATTATATATTTTTATTATATTGTTTACATACGCTTATCGGTAACGAAAAGAGTGTTAGTTTCATGATTAAAATTTATAGGTCGAGAAGTTGGAGAGAAATAAATTTGCTCACTGAGATTTAAAGTAACAGACTATACATGTCCCACTGCTGGGCAAAGGCCTCCTCTATATAGAGGGTATCAGGGCATAGTCCACCACGCGGCCCCACTGCGGATTGGCGGATTTCATATCTTCGAAAAATATTTTTTTTTGTTATCATTTCGAAAATCTGCAGGTTTCCTTACGATGTTTTCCTTCACCGCGGAGCATGTGATAATTCATCATTGGTGCCGGCACCGGGGATCGAACTCAGGTTGCTCAAGTATATTGAATTAAAGGCGAGCGCCCGGACACTGAGCTATCACGGCTCACACTGAGTTATTATGTTATTATTAAGTTATTATGTTTCCTGTATCTCACAACACAAATACAGTAAGATGGAACATTTCAGAAGGAAGTGTGTCAAAAGGATGACAAGCACAAATTCCGGAACAGTATATTTTGATTCCAAGCAGTATATTTCGATGTATTCGTAAAGATAGGCGTAAGTGGCGAGCGACATGCGCTTCACGTCGTAAGCAGATTTCGACTGCAGCAGGTCGAATCTTCGCCCGGCTAAAGCAACACTTGACCTTTATTTAAGGCTGGATTTCGTAAATTTACGTTGAATTTAGTATGCTAAAAATATGATAAATATGTTGAACTACATAAAAATATGCCAAATGTAGTTTTAAATTATGCTAAATTGGCAGCACTGACTATGGGTCGTCAGTTTGGTAGCATCTTATTTTTTAAAAATTAATGATTCGATAAAGTAGACAGACAGAAAAAAATTCAGAAAATCATTGTTATGGGGTCTAATGCGTTGATATAGCCCCAATATTTTTTCAGAAATAACTTCCATGTACAGACAATGATTACTTATATTTTTAATATGTGTATAGATATCGGATATCTATAGACCTACCTACCTACTTCTCATTAGTAAAAACTAGCGATGTGACGAGCTGGATTTTATTTTACTCAAGTTGATATGGCTATTGACTCGAGTCACAATTCGAGTTGACTCTATTCGATGTCTCCTCTATGGAGAGAGAGGGGACTCGGCCGCCTCAGGGAGCACCAGTCAGCTCGACTCGAGGCTTGATAGGTAATAATAATGATGTTGAATCGTGATGTGATATGGCTACTCGAGTCGATTTACAACTCGAAACTAAAAAGTCTCTGGGTAAATTTTGTCCAATCGCTTCACTGTACTAAACTAAATGTTTTTTCTTAATATGGTTCACCAATGTTGTCGTATTTCCTACGTATTTATATGCAGATGGAAACAATTTACTATCAGTTTGTTATTATCATTGTTTTCATCAAAGAATTCCCACGCCACACTTCTTTTATTTTGCGCTATTACAAACAAAACACAACAGATCACTAACAAAACAAAAAGGTCAGGTAGCGTGCGGGTCGCCAACGGTCAACTAATAAAATTAAACTACAAAATGTCAATCAAAACTCAAATCGATGCGAGTGAGATGCAACACCTAACGATCAGCGCACGCGAGCCGCGGCCGCGTGTGTAACTCGTCAACTCGCGAGGCCCCCGAATACATCGTCCGGTTTGCGTTTGTTCGACCGAGGGCGAGTTGATTCGAGTTTCTTAAAACTGAACTCGAGTTTACTCGTTTACGGTTTTTCGAGTTACTCGAATCAAATAACTTTACCAGCACAACACATCATTATTGAAAAGTAAGGAAAATTAAAAGCTAAAGCTAGATATCGCAACCCAAATTCTATGTTTGAGGTTATGTTCCTGATAAATTTGATATCATTTACAATTGTTAGTAATAATAATTTATAAATAATGTACGAACTTTAATTAATTTCGGAATAGGTTTGAGGCGTTGCCAATTAAATAAATGACCAATACTAACCTGTGGAATGTATAATCACCTAGGACATAATTAAACTGACCACTTTTTTTCTAACTCAAAACGGGATATTGATTTACAATGAAAATAAACCTAACTTTTTATTTTTATTTATTCCGAAAAGATTAAAAATTAAAAGATACAAATAAAAATTCATCAGTTCACTACTTTTTATTAAAACATTGGCATATTTTTAAATATTTTTATATTTCTCAGAGGAACAAATTTGTTTTAATAAAGAAGGTGACGATTTTAAATAAGAATAAATTTGGCACGTTTTTTTTATGTTGACCTTTGTTATCAGCATCGCCTTCAGAACTGGAGCTGTTCAATATCACTAGAACCACTATGAGAAACACTGTGCGACTCTTTTCGCATCTGACATCGGAAGGAGCGCTAATTTGCTTAATAAATGGGTATTTTGTTTGTAGGTTTACATTAAATGAACACTTGGGTTTCGGCGTAACTGTAGGAAAAATTTCAAAACAACAAAACTTCAAATTATCTAGAAAACTATTTAACGAACATTACACAAAAACATAAAGAAGTCTGAACACATGCGCGTGGCTAGCCTATTGAAAGAAACAAATTCCCTCTCCTCCTCACCGCGTTACTAGGTAATCGAGAGCGCGTGCATGCGGGGAATAACCGGGAATTACTGATCGCGGTTCCGTGCTGCTCATGATCATGTCTGACGAACGTGGTTTTAAAATTTCGTGCGGTTTCGGAAAACGGGACAATTTTGCGTCCCGAAGATTTGTTCGGGGACAACGGGACAGATGTCCGAGAAAAGGGACAGTCCCGTTCAGAACGGGACGTATGGTCAGTTTAGACATAATCCTTGCTCTGTTATAATGAGTTAAAAAACACTTTACAATAAGAAAATTACAATAAGATTTAAATATTATTGTTATATTTTACTGAAAAACACGATAACCCTCAATTACAGGAATGTTTAACACCAATCTGTCAAAATAGCTTGCCTTGCAGTCTGCCGGTTTAAGTTAAAAGCACTCTTTTGGTTACAGTTGCAGCACAAGTACGAAAAGGGAATATATTACTATTCCACGCATGTTATTATTCCATAATGTTGTTCTGCTGCTGCGTAAAAGAGTATGCAAGTGCGATTTAGTCTATTGTTATATTCTTCTACTTTACTTTACTTTAAATCTTTTAGTGAAAGTAAGTGTTTAAAATTGGGGATTCTTTGAGTGAAAAAAAAAAACAAAGTAAATGGATAATTTGTTTATTAACGCTTATCCTACTATTACAATGTTATAATCCTGGCGGAATTGATTTTTGCTTATTGTTCTAGGTATGTATAATACCTAATCAAGGGCCTTTTCTAACCTATATTAGCCTTGACAAAACCAGACGTTAAGATAGGTAGGTAGGTTATTATATTTGAGATCAATATTAAATTACTTTCTACATAGATTTCAGATATTATTTTTATACAAAACATAAGTTCATTTATGTGTTTGAATAAAATTATTTTAAATAACCAATCAGTTATTAATTATTAGTTCTGGTGATTAGATGGATAAATGGAAAAAAATATTACATATAGGAAATAAAAACAAGCTAAAGCTATCCTGAAGGCAAATTAGTTAAACATTAATTTGTTTTGTCACAACTTTTTAAAATGTACAAAAATGTATTTGTACATTTAAAAAAAACCAGACACTTTTTTTGGTAGAACTAATAATAAAATTTGAGTCTATTTAAGGTAGGAGACAGTTATTGCCAGAGTGTGTGAATGTATCAAATAGAATTTGTGTACTATTTACTTATATCCACAAATCCATTTTGTCCTTTCTATAAGTTAATATTTTCAAAGCACTATAAAAATAATTTTTTATGAGACAACATCTTACCAGAATATTTTTAAGTTAATGAGATTGTAATGCTGAATATTGTAAACTTACACTTAATTTGGTGGAATCAAAGAAAAGTTATATAAATAACAAGTCTCATATAAATTATAAAAACACAAAAAAATTACTTTCAGATCCCAAGAGAAGGATACTTTCTGTTTTTCACACATAAGCATATTATTTATATTAAACTGAGCTATTTATATACAACATATTTAGAGTGCTTTATAATTTTAATTATTTAGCTTAAATGGTCTTTGCCTTTAGTACTTTGGTGTGGACATCAATGGTTATGTCAGAATTTAATTAATATCAAAAGCCAAATTTCCATTTATTAGAAGTACATATTCATAAGCTGCAACAAATTCATTTGTTAAAAGTAGAAGTTATTTGGTTCCTGGCATGATTTGTGTCACTGAAATCATAGTAGTCATGTATTAGATATGAAAAAGGAATATTACCATACACTTTACAGGAATGAATACCTCTATACATGTTTCCCTAACATAAATAATAATCATGTGTTATCTTCACTATTGATATAAGTATAAAAATAATTCCAACACAATAATCTCGCAAAAAACTTTAAATATGTGACAATTTCAGTTTATATAAAAATTCGTGTCTTTCAGTAATAAAATCAAACATAAATGTAACAGCTTTTAACGGTACAAAAATTAGGATATTTATTTTTAAAACATACTCTGGGCTTTCAAAAATCTAATGGACTACGAGGACTGATAAACTTGAGTAGCAACTATTTATTAAGAAAAATATTTGATTATGGTATAAACAAATATAAAATATTAAATTTGGATAGTGCATTATATGTTATAAAAATTATTATGAAAATATCAAATTGGAATGGCACATAATTTTGAATATGTTTCATTTTATTAAAATTGTTTTAATACACCGACTATATGGTCTAAAGGTCAATTAGGGCCATTAAAAAAAACAATATTTGTATGAGCAGAAATAAAAACTGCATAAAAAAATGTACTCTGCGATAAATATTACACAATGATGTGCATTACTTATTACATCTGGTAAAGTTTGACAATTTTATTTGTAAGTTTATATTTATTTGATACATAAAAATTATTATTATTATGGAATTTCTTTTAATTCAACGACTCTACAATTAAAAACTGTTACTGTTTTAGTGAATCGAAATGTGATTACAATGTAATTAAAAAGGATTGATGTTAAACTATGTTCTAAGAAAACCTTGACATCACAAAAAACTTCATAGGTGTCATCACAGAGTCAAAAAATCATCACAGGTAGACCCATAGATGAACCTTATGGAAATACAAGAGGTAAAAAAAACACTGCAGGACATTTATATGCTATACATATCTTTGCATCTGTTCCAACCTTGTTATAAAATATGCCTAGTACTTATATATTTAAATATTTACCATCACTTTGTACAATGCCTCTTACACTACACTAACAGATTTAAAAATACTTATACAAATGCATACATACAACATTCAATTATTGATTTTGTAATATGGTGCATTATATTATCCACACTTTTTCATACACCACTCATAACTAATAAATGAGGTCTATATTACAATGTGAAACATAAATTGACTTGCTTCTATACATATAAAAATATACATGTAACAAATACCCCAAGAGAATCTGAAACAGTCAACATTGTCTTCACATATCACAAGTTCACAGGAAACTTAAGAATACTTTCATCTAAAGCATTCTGTATGACACTCATCTCAATTGCAATTACATCGCAAAATTAAAGATGCACTTATGTATTTTACAAAATGCTGAACTGATTATCAACTAGATAATTGTAGCCTTGCACTACTGGGAAATTTTGTAAATCTTCATAATACTTACTTCTTTTACATGTCCAAATAATCCTTAGAAAAATCTTTCATATAGGGTGTAGAATGTTTATTTATATATACACAGACTAGGCAGTTGATTATTAGCCAGATCATATTTAGGGCATCTGTGGACGCTGCTTTTTTTGTCGTCTATATGAATGTAACTGCATTTCCATTTGAGGCACATCCTGATGAAGTGAACCTTCTTGCTGCTGTGTCTCATGTACCTGTTTCTTTTCAGGTTTTTTCACTAAATGGGCGTTAACAGGATACTTCAGGACAGTCCTTAATTGATCATTATGTTCTTCTAATGAGTTAACTGCATAATGGAGAACAAGTTCATTGAGGGTTCTGTAACAAAAAAAAATGCTGTCATTGGTACCAATATCTTTTTCATTTATTCTAATTGTTCTTAGTACCACATAGAGCACAAATATGTCGAGCGTATATTATGCAGTGGGCAAATATTATCTGTGCTGAGCTGCTGAGACAAAAAGAACAGTTATCAACAAATTCAGACCTGTGGTGCAAAGAAATATCTATTTGTAATCAGGGTAGGACAGATAGGATGTGACCAGTGGAGAAGTAATCTCAGCCATCTCTATGTGGTAATGAAACGGTATTAATCTTAAAATGAAGTCCCTGGTCTGCAGCAACAGCAAAAGCCTGTACTTGGCTCTACATTGTACTTGATTCCACATGTAAAACCTAATGAATAATGAACATATATTTCTTGACTTCTGCTTTCACTCCAACTCTTGCTTCAATTTCTAATCTGATGAATCTAATTTAAAAACTCCAATGCGAACTTTATTTCGATAAATTCACCTCCTTATCACATCTAGATAATATACCCCAATGCACACATGACAATATAAATTGGATAAAAAATAGTTTGTGACTTAGATATACAAGGATTTATTTAAAAAAAAATATGAAATATAAGAAGAGAGATCAAGAGAAAGAAAATGTAGTTTTCTTAGATCTAAAAGTTTAATTCAGTAAATTATATTAATGGCATAATATGTCACAATTCAAGAAGGAGGATCAATTAAATGAATGATTACTGAAATTCAGCCTAAAAATAGTGTGGTAAAACATTAGGTGAACCACCTATTCTTCTATTTTGTATAACAAACTTGTAAAATGTATAACAAAACATATTTTGACTAGAATACATTTCATTGAAGTTAAAGCTTATTGGTGCCATTGCTAAGTTAAAGGCTTGTAAGCTGCTAATATTTCCCATTGAAAACAGTTATTTGTGACATATTTTTTTATTCCTTTCTTTGTCTTTATCTAATATATAATAAAGCAATGGGTACTTACTTATAGATATTGTATGGTTCTGCAAATCCATATCCTCTTTCAGTCTTAAATATGATACAGTGATAGACCATATTATTGCAACATATAGAAAGAGCAAGCTGTCCAGTAGAGTTGGGCCTTATTAAAAAGGTACCTTGGGGTTTACCATCAAGTAGCCTTTCTGCTGTGTCCCTAGTACAATTTTCCACCATCCAACTTATTGATTCATTATGTGCATACAACTTTTCGAGAATATGAATGTTATTGTTCTCTAAGGCTTGAATATATTCTTCAGTTTTACCTCTTCTTTGGAGCCACCTAAAATGTAAAATATGTTAATTAGGTAAATAAAATCAAGGTAGTCTATTTTTTTTTTAAAACAACTATAATGAAACAACAAATGTTGAAAGAAAACTTTAAATGCACACAATTGATAGATTTTACTTTTAATACCTAATTGAAACTTACTTAACATAAAATCTAGGATATATTATGGAATATATTCATGACAGAAGATTAAGTTTTAAATTGGATTTGATTTTAAAGATTGTGCAAAAAAAATAATTTATCTAATATAAAAATATGAATTGGTGGTCCTTTTATATAAGAACATTTCTCACAGCTTTTGCACAGATATTGATACTTGAATTATATAAAAAAAAATTGAAGAACTTACACTTTGTAGCGGTCCTTTAATTTGTAAAGATTTATTATTTCTGATTTTAATTTTGTTATTTCTCTTTCAAGTAGCAAGTTAGATTCAACAGTCTCCCTCAATAAATTGGTTAATTGAAGCCGAGCTTGTTTCAAATTGCTGACTTGTGAAACTAATTGCTTATTATTTTCAATAAGCCCGTTTTTCTCATGTGGTTGTGCTTCAGCCTGCATTTTTTCTTGTAATTTCAGATGTTCTTCACAAACTTTTACAGTCTCTCTAAAGGCATCAAGTGATTGCTTCTTCATTTTTACTTTTTCTCTTAATTTCATATATGTATCGGATCTTTCATCATAATCCCTTGTTTTTAAAACAAACTCTTTGTGGATTTCTTTATATCTTGACTCAAGTGTTTCATCATTAATATTTTCAGCCCCATCATTTTCTTGTAACCTTGATAGTGGGTACATAAGCTTGATATCAAGACTACTGTTACAATGTGCCAGGGAGTATTCCTTGTAGAACTTAACAAGATCCACAACTGAATTAAATTCAAAAGGTTCACAAAAGCCATAGCGACCTTCATGGTTGTATATTTTAATTAATTTATTTGTGCCTCCTTTCCTTACAGTCAATGTGTACCCACTATCTTTGTTTGAAGCATTGCGGACTAGAAATGTGCCATCACAGGTATCTCTAAGCATTTCATTCGCTTCATCTCTGAAACATAAACAAATTATGTATTATTTCAAAGTTAAAAATTCAATAGTAATGTACAATTTTAACTAATTATAATAAAGATAATGTAAATTAGTGTTATTTTTTTTTATTAAAAATATTATTTAATTTGCAAGATACAATATGGCAAGTTGTTTCTGACAACTGTATATTACAAAAAATGAATGTGAAAAGGATTATAAAATGACTTGAAAAGTTTAAAGTCGGAAGGTACAAAAAAGAGGATATGATGCAATATGATTCTGTCACAAGAAATATTATGTCAATCATATAATTAAGATATAGGAAAATTAATTTCAATATTATAATAATTCTATGGCAAATAAACTACAACAAGAACTGTTTTTACAATTTCCCAATTACTTTGATGATTGCATGAGCCCCCTGTTTAGACAAGGGCAACTTGGATAATTAATAAAGATTTATTTTGTGCAGATCTGTATATTTTTGTAATGCTGTTAAGAAAATCTGAGAATCTGTATAAACAGTAACTTTCATTTTACTTTCTTGTCATCATTTGTTAGTTTTGTATCCTTCTGTAATATAGTATCTCTATATGCTTCACAAATTAGACAACCACATAAATATGTCTTCTGATAATATACATACATATTAATAAAATATAAATTATACAACATAACCAATTAAACAAAAAAACATATATTTTTGCCAAAATTTTGGTAATTTTGGCAAAAATAATAAAACTAAAATCCTTTAAGTTTTTTGATGCAACTCTTATCAAGAAATATCTATAACTGTCAGCAAGGTCTACAAGTAAATACCTTGTAATATCTCCCCAATACCATTCAGCATTCTCCAGACTCTCCTCGGCTGATTGTTGGTGAACTCCTATTTCCACCATTCTATAATTTATATTAAGCACCTCACACTACCCGCTATATACAAACAATTTTATCTGATATTATTTCATATTAAAAGATTTATAAAGCGAAAAGTATACGTTTATTATCGCTTCCGCCCGATTGAGGTTATATAGAAAATAAAACATTATATTTCAAGTAAAACCTATCAAAATACATTTTAAAAAGAGATGATACACTATTTACACCATAAACAGTATATTAGAGCAGTCACCGAAGTAATTGACACCAAAATTAAGATTTAGAGACCACAAAGGAAACGGGCTAGTTACTTTGGCCGCAGTTTCTATGGCTGACAAACGCAGAAGTAGTTCACTGTTGAAATCGGTAACATTTTTCAGGCGTTTTGTTATGAATGATTATCTACTTTGTTATTGATAATCCATTGAACACTTGAGAGTCATTATACACTTGCTACATAACTTTTTGTATTCTTAACTAAAATTGTATCCACCATAGATTGCGGCAAACTGATAATACTAGAGAGTAGAGGCAGGCAGTCAGTTGGCAGACAAGGAAACATCAATGGTATAGGTATAAGCATGAAACAAAAGAATATAACGGTTGAATAAAAAGGGGTTCCGTAACATTTCTTCGTGAATGATTAAATTTTATTGTGTTTTCAGAACATTTTATGATTTAACGATAATATTAATGATATGATACTGGCCATTTGCCATAAATGTAAATATTATTTTTAAAATTATTCTTTTGAATGTTCTTTAATACTGTCTCGATCGATTTTACATATGTATAGATTTTCTACTTAATTCCCGGAGGTCCCCGATTCGCAGCCTACACATGACACCCTCATGTGCTAAAATCATCTTGTTGGTATTGTTATTTAATAGCTCGTCTGCGTTCGACCGTTGCTAAATACGAAACTTTTAACTTTCACAGATTAATGGTTTTCATGAGTTAGTATTTTCATAAAATCTTGTTCTTCGTTAATAATTTTATACCCGTAAACTAATTGTTTTTGTGTTTTAATCGGGGTTGTAATATAATTTTCTTAACCCATCGTTTAATGTAGTTATGTTTCGTTATTAAATCGAGACAACTACGTCAAACGATCTATTTGATTGCGGTTCAGCCCGAGATTGAAACGTTCAAGTTCATTTGTGTGGCTCCTAAATCGTGTCGCCCGTGTCCCCCACCATTTCTCATTTTCGTTAACAGTGTCGTCGTGTTGGTGCACCAGCTGCGCTATTCTAATTTCTACCTCTTCCGATGAAACTGTTGAAGCCTACGGAGACTACGGACGGACAAACAGCCAATTATAGTAAAAGAAACATTTCGTGTCAAAAGACATCTTTCCAGACCAGATTTTGTTGTTAACACTTGATTGACAGGTGTTTTTGACATATTCGTAAATATCGTTTTGAAACTCGATAATGGCATTGTGCGTTTTAGTATTACAAAATACTATTTGTTTTCACTTTTTATACGAAAGGAAAGGAGGAAAGTGATAAACTAAAATACTTTCTATAATGCCGTACAACTAGAACGATTACTCAAGAAAAATATGAAACACCGCTGTAAAAAATTAAATAAGTTGTGTGGATTATTTTGACTTCAAAATGTGTTTCAACAAATTTTCATTTATTTTATTTTATTCCTTATTTCTCTGTGCGTCGTCTGCACATGTAAAGGGCCAGTATTCTACTCAAGAGTTTTTCAAGTTCCTAGTCAAATTTGGCTTCCAAAAGACGGATATCCATTTCCAGAAGGAAACATATGGATATATTTTTGGAAACATTACCTCGAATGGACAGTTTAAATATCCAATTACATTTGCTGTTTTAGATAGAAGACATTTTATCCATTATTATAAAAATCGTGATATAGTTAACAAAGAAGTAGCTTGCCAGGTTATGTTTCAAAACTTAAATACATCTGCTTATCATCCAAAATGCAATTCATGTGGTCAAGATTTGTTTCGACGTGTCCCATGTCCAAAAGAGAAATTGTGTATTGATGAAGATTCACCATGGAATGTGATAAAAAATAATCAATTTACATATGTCATCCAAAACACAGGGCAGCCCAGGTAATTAACTCATATTGGTTGAGTTATATTGCAATTTGAGTTATATTCCAAATCTTCATTGAGTAAATTTCAATCATTTCACATAAATTATATGCTTTAATCACAAAGTTGAAACATGTGGTTAATAACATTTAAAAAATTGTTTATTTAATGTTGAGTTTACTAGGGAATTTATTATCTTTAAAATTTATCAACAGCAGATTTATCAACATAATTCCTCTAATAACTTATCAGAACAGTAAAATGCTTTTTGCAATGTGTTTACACTGCCTACTTTTGTTAACAGATTTTGGTATGTTTCAATGGTATCATGTTATTTGGATGAAACAACATGCACATGGCACCATTATACTGGAGCACCCTCAATTGATAACAAGACACTTACAAATATACCTCAAACTATAGATTATGACTTCTGGCTTGTAAATGGAAGTCCTAATATGTCCTTATATAATACACTTGTTTATCAGTTTTCGTTTGATGGGCAAAACACATTGGAATTATATTTGGTATTCTGGCTTTGCTACATTGTTCTTGTTCCAGTTCAGATATATGCAGTCAGGTAAATATAATTATTACAAGCATAAGTCATCTTTGAGTTTTCAATTTTTTATCTAAATTCAAATAATTTAATTTTACAGAACTCAAAGACACCCTGTTACAAAATTGTTTACATTTAGCCTTATCTTGGAATTTATTGCCCTGTGTTTTAATGTTCTGCACACTGTGAAATTTGCTGCTGATGGTATTGGCTTTGAGGGTCTTGCTGTGGCCGGTGATATAATTGATATTATGAGTAGAGTAAGCATTTTATAATTATTATTAGAAGTAGGGATATATTTTATGTTTTTCTTTATTGCAATGTAATTTGCTAACATCACACAAGTTTCAATATGGTATAGCATATTAAAAGGCTAGGTACTGAAAAATTAATAATATTTGTCAAAATGTGAAATAATTAGAAAAGTTATTGATTTAATTTTTAAAATGTTCTATACTAATATTATAAAGGTTTCAAAAAATTTTCTCTTAATTTTTCAAAGTTAAAATGCATTCAGGGTACAAGCTTACTTTTATTCCTTTTTTCACATTTCATTATGCATCATATCAACAATGATGTCTTCTACAGACATTCAGTTTTTATTAAAATCAAGGTCCAGGAGTTTAATTATTAAGTCAGCAATAAAATTTATTAAAATCCAGTATGTTAAAGTTCAATGTATGCCTGAGTGAGTTTAGTGTTTGTGAATATGGTTTTGGTTACAAAATTGGAATACTTGGATCAGGATAATGTGGTGTAGCCGGGGCCAACTATATTTAGAGGTGGCAACCCATTTGCAACCCTATGGGTGTTGCAAATGTCCATGGGCGGCGGTTATCACGTAAAAAAAGACCAATAATATTTTTGTATATTGTATGTAACTGACTATTCATTTATTAATTTTCAGACGCTGTTTATGCTACTACTTCTTCTGTTAGCAAAGGGTTGGGCCGTAACTAGATTAGAATTAACTTACAAACCTCTTGTATTTGGTATTTGGCTTGCATATGGAATAGTCCACATCCTCCTATATGTATGGAACACAGTTAGTATATCTTTATTTATATAAACCAACCTATTCCTCTCTTTTCCCAATGAAATGTTACTATGTAACAATCCTATGATGTTCAATTTTCAGACAGAAGTTGATATAATAGAAGAAATAGATGAGTATCAAACATGGCCTGGCTGGTTAGTTCTTACACTGCGTGTTGCCATCATGGTATGGTTCATTTTAGAGCTAAGGAACACAATGATGTATGAACACAACATAACTAAACTCAATTTTCTACTGCATTTTGGAGCATCTAGTTTGGTGTGGTTTGTCTACTTGCCAATCATAGCGCTAATTGCATTACAAATTAGCCCTTTGTGGAGATTCAAGTTTTTATTAGGTGAGTTATTTTTACACTATTAATTAATTAAAAACTGAACAGAACATCACTAATTTATTAACTTATGCCATATAGCAAAGAAATAACACCAATTAAACCTGTGACAACAAAGTCTCCATCCATTCTTCCTCGCCTATATCATACTTAAAAACTAGTAATAAATTGATAAATTTTCTAGTTTAGAAGCAAGTGAGTAGTTTTTTTTACAACTATATTATAAATAACTTAAGTAAACTGTTTTTTTTTAATATTAAATTTTCTTTTCAACAAAAATAATATAGGTATAATGAATATATATCAACTGCTGTACTGTTACCAGGTAGGTTGGTATACGCGGCAGTGACAGTACAAAAAAAAGGCAAATAAAAAAGGACTACAACTCTGTAGAGAAAGTTGTCTAATATTATAAAAAAACCCTTTGCTCTCTGTGCCTGTGGTAGTTGGGCAGTATTTTTTCAACCACAATTATTTCGCATTGTATACTAATGTCGGATGCAATAGTAACCTGGTGGTGAACAGGGCTGGATTTAGGTATGATGTAAAAGATAGTACAAAAAATTTAGAAGGATAGTATTTGTAAAATAAAATTATAGTATACTTTATAATTTTGAATTTAACGGGCATTAATTTACTTCCAAGTTTATCAATTCTTCAATATAAGTTTCATCCTTAGAATTTACTTTTTTTAACAGGAATAAAATCAGTACAAATTCCACTTTTTTCCATATTTGATGGCGTCAAAACAACACGACTAGAATGGCGTCTATGGATTATGTTTATTTCTTATCTTTGTTTAATAAATAATAAATTAATTGTTCTATTGGACATCAATGAACTCTATTAACTATCTCATAGTGCAATATGCAAAGTTACTCTTCAACAAGCTAAGTATTTAAAAAAAAAGACTACACCCACAGTTAGTGTAACAACAAACACATCAGTTCGCCTCGGGGGCCCCGCCGGATAACACTACACCCACAGTTAGTGTAAAAACAAACACTTCAGTTCGTCCTCGCCTCCGAGCACGGCGAAACCAGCACAACGCGTACACTAGGTACACCCGCGTTCCAGGGCGGTTCTCACCGCTCCCAGCCACCGATTAGCTAATTGCACAGTCGACGGTCATCGGGGTTTCGGTCCGAACTGCGACCTCGATAGCCTTTAGATGACACACCATAGTTAAACGCAAGCATAAGCACATGCGCGGCCCTACCCACAGCGGAGGGCTGAAACCAGTGGGTTCTGGCTAGCCCACCGGTTCTGCGTCAGATGAAGCTTTAAATGTTTCGGGACTGAAAGCAAAAATATCAGTTACTACAAGATACAAGATACAATGTTAAATTTGCAAAAGTTAGTCCTGCCAATACCAACAAATCCGTAGATCTACCTACTACTACGATCTGTGCAGCTTTGAACAGGTGACAATTGATATTTATTTTCATTCAAATCTTGAGATTTAAAAAAATATATCCATTGAATCGCAGGCGTACGTTACGCCTGCGATCTCGTGAATTTTTCATTTTAAGCAGTTTTAAATTTTTTTTGGAATAATATGTCTGTTGGGTGAAATTTTAAATAGGAAGGTCAAATTTAAATTTACTGAAAATTTATTGTATTTTAATTTATTGTCAAAGTACGAAAGTTTAGTTGAGAATCTATCGCTTCAGGCATAACTTACTCGGCCGATTGTCTGGCTTATTGCGTCATGGCGCACTTGCTCTGGCCGACGCGCTCCGAGCAGTATCTACTCTTGTCCTCCTCCGACTATACAGGTATGTCGAATGTGAATGCTTTTATCGTTTATTCATAATTGATGGTTAAAAAAATGAATTTTCAATAGGTGTTACTATTATTGTCGCCGCCGGAATTTGAACTCGGGACGCTCGAGTGCATTAAACTAAAAGCGACCGCCGGACACTGAGGTATCGCGGCTTAAAAGTTTTAATATAATTCTAACACTTCCAGCTAATATAGAGGAGCTGGACGAGTTCAACGAATCGCCGCACGTGGTCCACGGCGACACGATCGCCCTCACCACAGCTGAGAGTGTGAACGCCGACGACGAGGAGGTTATATTCAGCCGCACGCCGCAAAATGGCGTCGCGTTCTCGTAGCGTGGCGGGTAAAAATGGCAATCTAGTGCCGGCCCCCGGCGCATCGTGCAAATTCCAATTGGGCGACACCGTGTACAAGACACGCAAAACTTAAACACGCCGCTGAATTGGTTCCGGGTTACTGAGCTAAAGATAGTCTACGGCATCAGCGCGCGTGGTTGTTGATACGCCTCTCTTGTTCGCCCCCGTAGCCTTTTTTGTTATGCCACTCTTACTGCACGTGGGTACAGTCGCGGAAAACTTTGCTGTTTAGTTTTGTTCAGTACAGACTAGTGATGTTCCGGATATCCGCATCCATATCCGCATCCATATCCGCTACATTTTGACGATCTTTTACGGATCTTTACCCTTATAGTCGTAAAAAATGATAATTCCAATTAAGTAAATTATTACACTGTGACACTCAGTGTTAACTTTTGATTAAAACACAGTGCAAATTAAAGGAACGGTAAATTGTACTTTAAAAAGAGCAACTTGGCAGCTGTATCCCCCAAAAGTCATGATAAAAAATGAATATGTGCGAGCAATATAAATATTTTCGGATACATTTTTTACGTTTTCTAGTCCCAAACTAAGCAACGCTATACTAAAAAGTGATAAACATACTTTTATTTTATAAATAAATACATATTATACATTTATAGACACCGAGACACTGGAAAAACATTATGTTCATCACACAATATTTTTCTAGTAGTGGGGATCGAACTCACACCCTCTGGCGCAAGAGGCAGTTTCACTACCTACTTCCCACGCCAATGGGGTCATCAAGTCGTATGACTGAGACCTCCAAACTTTTAATGCCAATACTTTAGTGAATCGTGGCTCTCTTGATAATCTTTTTTCTGACATATATGACCTAATATTTATCTTCATCATCACTATCTAACATGTTAGCCATAGAATCTTCTCTCTGGCAGAAATCATTGGTTTGTGCTTAGTACTTTTTGTAGTTGCTGTGAGATTTACTTCATTTTCCAAAGTTGTAAGCATTTTTTTTATCCTTTGAACCGTGGGCGTAAAAATGTGGCTAATTGAAACAATTTTTTTTTATCAGTTTCTGAAAAACTAAAATCTAAATTAACCTTCGAATTATACAAATAATCATGGACGGTGGATACACTAATATTGAGATTTTCCCGGATATTAACTTAAGATTCGTATCCGTATCCGCGGATATTGACGCCACTGATCCGTATCCGCGAATCTACAATTTTAATAATCCGGCACATCACTAGTACTGACGAATCGCTAAAAGTTCGTAATTTTTCTTCATTGTATTTGATTATCTGAAAAATTTAATCTATATTCTTCTCAAGATAGACTCGGTGCACATACCACAACCACGATATTTAGAATGGGAATTCAAGTAAACATTTTTACATTGTAACCGGTTTCTTAGTGGCAGTTAACAGCGTGCATCATCTCGAATGCGTATGATGGAGATTGTACTGAATGCAGTAAGAATATTGTGTGAAACGATTTTTTTTTTCACGATACACACGCAGAACTAGCGGGGGCAACTTCACTCTGGGGTGTTTAAGTCAATGTGCTGCTTGTATGAAGTTCATCCTCCTCGAGAATGTCACATAATTAATACGGTATATTTTTAAAGATACCTCTTAGTCTGTGCCACTTTGAGAGATTCTGCCCTATGTGTATATGATGCAATGCGAAACGTTGATTGTGTGTTTAGTTTTTGTATTTCTTCCTATGAGGACTTGGTGTATGTCTGGAAAATGTATTTGAAAAACTTTGTTTTTGTTTGTCTAAATAGGTATTTTTTATTACATTACATTGTTTTATCTACAGACTAGCGGAATTAAATGAACTTATCCGCCTAGTTACAAAGTTCACTTATCACAGTACTCTTTTACAGGCGATATATCCAATGTACAATCTATGACGTCTCACAATCTTAATGATTTTCCGTTTTACTTTGAGTTGATTTTTTTTTGGTTTATGCAAGCGGTGTTATCCAATATAACACATAATGCGTTATTTGGCATCAAATATGTATATTACCTTAAACCAGGTAAGTAATACTTCATGATATTCATGATTTCTGGCGAAATTGATTTCATATATTAGATATTATTTTTTTCTTATCATAATCAAATTATAACTTAATTCTTGTGCATGTATCGAGCGCGGATCTTGATGTAAATTTTGGTAAATATTCCGAACAGTACGTCTCGTTTTTCAAGCTAGAAAAAAATTTTAATCGATAGAGAAATGTTAATAATTAAATATTACTTACGTGAAAACCAAGGCAAACACTTACTTTTAATAAAAAAAAATATTTAAAACTTGTTATTTTCACTAAATAAATCCGCCATTTTGTGTTTGACAACATGTATAAATTTAAGAATTCACTCACTTTTACAAATTATAACCTTCGCATTATTAAAAAAGAGTCTTTAAAAATACTAAAAGTACTGTTACACTAAAGTTTTCTGGGTGGTCATAAAAAAAAAAACCTAACATCGAAGGCTAATCTTAACCTTCTAACCTAATCTATCCGAGTCGGTTCGCTCTGTGTCGGATCTGTGACTCATTTTGAACCTAATATTCGAGACATTAAGTGTACCCTAAGTCACAAATTTTAAATATTAGAAATTGTTAATAATACATGTTCTTGAAGTAGAAACTTGTGTTTTTGTGATATATCCGTGTATTTGTGTCTTCTTACAACGTAAAAAGTGAAAACGTAAGTTTTTAACTTAAAATAATAGTCTATAATGAATAATGGACGCACAGTAATGACGGATTTCAGTTGTATGAAATTTAAAAACTTTGTTAATTTTTTCCTCATAATCTAGTGGTTTTCATTGATTGTAACTTATATAATATTTAATTATTAACATTTCTCTATCGATTAAAATTTTTTTCTAGCTTGAAAAACGAGACGTACTATTCGGAATATTAGCCTAAATTTTGGACAGAATCAGATTCAATATTATTTAATTTCATTAAAATTTTTGTTTCTAGTTGGTCGATAACACAGCTGGGACGTATATAATCACCATAAAAATATTAATTTACAATTTAAATAAGGAACAAAGCTTTTCCAAAAATATTTTTTCTAGTTTTGGATGTATCTATGGTATTCACCTGTTTTTTCGGCGCCTGTCTCGCGAAAAGCAACTGATTTCGCTTTAATAAATAAATTACCGTGAAATAATTAATTTCAAAAAATTATTAATATTTTGATATAGATTAACCAGTATCTTTCAATCACCCGAATTCATCGAATTAAAAAACGACTGATATATTATCCTTATCTCTTTTCTCAATTCACGCTATTATTATAAGTAAAATTATTTTTATTTAGAATATATTATACATTATTTTTTATTTTTATTTTAATGTTTCAATAAACAAAAAATATTTGTTATTATTTATTCTTATTAAATGAAGATAATTGCGTAAACAAATAGAGTTTTAAAACTGATAGTTTTGTTTTATTCTGAGATTGATGTAAAAATAATATCATTAAAAATTTAATCAACTTACTAGCTGTAAGAATTCCGACAACAATGAGAAGACACGGTTTGTTAATTCATTTCAAAACATTTTTGGAACGAAGTTCCTTATTGCACGGTACGGATTTGGCGGATACCATGGCAACAAAGAACAATTTTTTGAGATTTATCTGTAATTTCAACTTACATAATTAAACCGCTATCAATTGCTGTTAATGTCATTTTCACAAACAAAGATTACTACTGGCTTAGGGGGATAAAATTTTTATTTATTGGAAATATAAAACGCCTATCAATACCTAACAATATACTACGAAAATAACTTCATTTTAACCTACCATTCCACGACATTTCTTTTATTTAACAATTAATGATACTTTACATCATAAGCGTATTACTATATGTGCCAAGTCTATAGTGTGAAACAAAATTTTATACAAACTTAATGTTAATTGCGTGATGATAAATTATACGATCTTTACAAAATATTGGTGGGAGGAATACTTACTATTATTAAATAGAATAATTGCTGCGTTTAAAAACTTAGTTCCTTTTTTAGACTAATCGGTGTCTCAGTGTCTTTTGTAATGTTTGTGTATTAGCAATTATTGAAGAACATTCAAACACCTACGTATTCTTTGTTTTTTTTATTTCTGTTAAAACAATGATTAGCTTTATTTGGCAAGTAAACCGTAAAAGTAAGATAAGTAAGCTAAGGATTAAAATTTATGTCGGCACTTAAATCGTAAGTGAATTGGATGTTTTGTATTTTAAATCTTCTACATCGGTTAGAGCGTGAATGTGACAATTAAATGTATTTAACGTTGGCATTCTATGTAAGCATATTCGAATACATGAACTAGTAATAAAATTGAAAGATTTAAATTCATCTGTTACTATTCGGTGTGGTCGTTGATATTACCTACTGTTTTGAAAATTGAAGTACAATAAGATCTCAGGTCAAATGTCTACCGTGTAAATAGATATGTATTAAATCTTTTCTGTACTAATTTTTAATAAAACTTAAAATGAAATTGGTGTTAAAATGTGGCCCCCATTTTTGTCATGAAACATTCCTTAACATTAATTTCTTGTTAAAAAGAGCTATTTGTTAATGTATTTTGGGTAAATAACTGTAGTAGTTTACCTGTAGGAACTTTCGCAGGAGTTTTATATGTATAAGTTAAAAGTCGTTGTTATTCCTTTTTTTTAATTTTATACCATATGAGTATATGAAAAACCGGTACAAGATTGATATGAAGATTAGGTTGAGCGTTCAATATTGAAAGATGATCGACTGAATTAAACATTTTTTGAAAGGACTTGTGATATTCCTATGTATATTTAATTTTTAGTTTTACTTTAATATTTCTTATTTGTAACATTAAATGTTTTAAAATCCAACTGTACGTCAGCTGAAATATTGTAAATAATTTGTTTCAATCTGTATTTTTTCCATAGCCTACTTAGTTTGTATTCCACAAGTAACATTGTAGCGTCTTACATAAATTT